TTTTATAAAGAATCTTCACACACTGGATTAATGTAAAATAATCCCTCAATAAATCTTTAACCAGTGGTAAATATGAGTAATACTACATGCAAACATTTTCAGATCCCTCTCTGGGTCCTCTCTCAAGCATCGATTCGTCAGTAAAAAATTCGTTCTAACGAATTTTTTACTGACGAATCGATGGTTGAGAAAGGTTTATTGAGGGATTATTTTGTTTTATTCAAATACAGTCGACCCCCCCTATAAGATATAGATACATTCCATTCTTTAGGAATCCAATTTCTTACGAGTCATTCCAATCATAGCCTGACACGTGTCAAGTTTACGGACTACGGCTGATTGAAAGGTTTTCTTCCATAAAATTAATCGATTCTAGACTAATCCGACTCAACATTTCCAAAATACGTATATTTTTTGGTAGTTTTATAGGAATCGTAATTATAGGGACCGTAATTATAGGGGGGTCGACTGTAAAGTACTTTTGAAGTCATTTGAATAAAGCAAAGATAAGATTAATTTTAAATATTTTAATATTTTATTTATACATTATCTTGAACTACTACTGGTTTTATTTGATTTTTATTTTTAATTCATTTAATTATTATTATAAGCTATGTAATATTTTGATAGCTCTTTCCAGCATCATAACATTGTATGGTTTCATGTGAATTTAATAAAATTTAGAGTGGCCAGATTAATATTAGTTGGAAGTAGGTTAATACAGATGAAATAGATAGTATCTTTGTTAGTTTGATAGTGTATTAAAACTAAAATTGAGATACGTAACTACTGAGTATATATGTACATTATACTAGTGTTTTTCTTAATAATGGATAGATAATTTTATTTATTTATTTACATATCTAATTTATCTCTAATGTGTTTAAATAAACATGTGATAATTATAATCATTTGTTCATTAGAAGATTTAACAATTGTTTGCTCTGTTATATTTTCTCTTGAAAAAATACAAATTGTTTAATAGTGTTATTTGAGAATATGGTTTTTAAATTTTTGTTTGTAGAAGAAAATCTTTTAATATATTCATGTAGTATTTAATTCTTAATCAATTTTTTTTTATCTTCTTTAAAAATCTTGTGTTTAATTTCATACTCATGATTAATACAAAGACTGTTTACAAATTTATATATAAGTTATTAATTTAATCAAAATTAAATTGAAAATATATTTTTCCATAAAATAAATTACTGTATGTTTAAAATATCTGAAAAATAAAATAAGTTTATAATATTTATTTTAAATGAAATTTCTAATTTTTAATGGAGTGAACATTTTCCTTGTATTTTGTATTTAATTTTTAAGAAATATTTTTAACATTCAAATTTATGTTGAAATAGTATATTTTATTACTTATTTACTAGAATACATTATGATTATTTTTAAATATTTAATCTGTATAGTTCATTTGTTGCTAATTTCAAAATGTGTTTTTTGCAAATAAGGAAAATTAGAAATTTATTTTAAATAAATATCCTTGAATTAGAATATAAGGAAAATGACTGAAGAAGAATTTTATTTAATTCAATAACCTTAAGATGCCAATCAGACTTCTATGTATACATATGGAATAATAGAGTATGATTTATTTTAAAAAGTTTTTTATTTTATAATAATAATAACTTTGTAAAATTTCAGATCTTTAAAAGCAGACAATGGCTACAGTTACGTTGTTGAGCAGGGCAAAAGTACAATTATGCAAATCTACACTTATACGTTTACAGTCTACTTATTCACCTATTAAAAAACTTCTTGTTGCTAATAGAGGTAATTTTAGTTTTATATTTTATTATTGTACTATATTAAATTTTGTAATTAATTATATCAAATCCAAAAATTTTTTTATAGTCTAATAAGCAATTTTAGGTTGGTTTATTAAAATCATAATTTATTATATCAATTATTTCATTATTAAAATATTTAAGTATTTAAATATTATTTTAAATTATTATTTATTATCAAATATTTACAAATTTTGCTTTTCAAGTAATGCTATTCACATATTCTACACAATTCTTAGTAATATATTTTTATCTTTTATGATAACGTTTTCAGGATATTGTTATTACAGATAATGTTATAGAAAGTTTTCAGGAAAATCACTATTCTGATGTATTCCCAATGAAATATTTTGTTTTGAATTATTTCATCCTGGATATTTTGAATTAATTAATAATTTTTTAATAAAATTTGAAACAATTGCCCTAATAGATATGATGATTATATATACAAATATTTTGTAAAAATAATTTTTTTTTATTTCAAAATATTCTATATTATAATATAATTTTTAAATGATTTTACATAAAATTCTGAAATCTGCACATGCGAAGGATTGTGTATGTATTATTGTAATGTTTGTAAAATATAACACATTATTGCTGATGTGAGATTGTATTATTTGTTTAAAAGCTTATTTTAAACTTCTTTACTTCACATTTTGTTTGAATAAAATCAAGTTTAAATGTCTTCAGATAAAAAACATATCAAGTTGAGGTATTTGAGTTTCAGAAAAGATATAACGTTGTAAAAACAGTAAAAAAATTATTTGATGTGTACGAGGAAGATGCTCCTAAACTTTGCACATGTCAAATGTGATTTGAACAGTTCTGTTCAGGAAGTTTTGAAATAAAGGATATAAAATGTACAGGGTACCAAAAAGCTGTCAATGAAGAAAAGTTACAGAAAGAAATTGTTAAAAATTGATGAATAACACACAATATATATAACCAAACACACCAAAAATAAAGTGAAGCACTGAAAACACACAAGCATATTGCAAGAGTGAGAGACAATTTGGGCATACAACAAACTTTAAGCTTAAAGTGCATTTTTTCACTGTGCAAAGTTCAAACTTTAAAGTATCATTCAAACTCCAAAGCAAATTTTTATCAAATTTAGTGTTTGAACTTGGAAGAGTTTAAAATACAAGATACCACAGTTTCTAAATTTTATGATAAAAAGTTATAAGATTATTTCTTCCTAAAAAGAAATTCCTAAAAAGTGATCAAATTAATTTTTCTTAATGTAAATATTTTATCAAATAATTTAACAGATGATATATTGGTAATACTTAAACAGCTAGCTGAATAGCCAGCTGTTTAAGTGTTAAATATATGTCTGGGTACCTTAATTGCCATAATTAAGGCAGCATCCAATCACTTTGGGGATCAAAGATCAAATCAAGACAGTCAAAAAACCTCAAAACTTCTCTGGGGTGGTCTGTCTTGAATAAATGAGGCCCCATCATTCTCCATCTGGCTACTCTATTGTGGGCCTGACTGAATGCATAATGGGCCCAAAAAAGATACTGCCTTATTAATATGAATACAGTATAAAACCTTTTTTTTTTTTTTTTTTTTTTTACATTATGAAATATTTTAGCATTTTTTAAATGAATTTTATAAATTTGAAAATGATTGGGAGTAATTATATGGGTTTATTGATATTCTTAAATCATATTCTATATGCACATATGGAATNGGAAATGATGAGTTGAATTAGTCTAGAATCGATTAATTTTATGGAAGAAACCTTTCAAACAGCCGTAGTCCATAAACTGCATATGTGCCGGGCTGTGATTGGCTGGACTCCTAGAAGGTGGATTCATAAAATCAGGAACGTATCTACCGTGTCTTAGGGGGGTCAACTGTATAAGGTTTTATATATTATTTTAGTTAAATTTGCCTAAAAGAAATTTATATAATCAAATTGCATATTGATAAATTATTAAATTGGTAGAAACATTGCCAGACTTGACATAATTAATTTATATTTTTGAATTGACTAATATGCTAACATTTAATTTTCTCAAAACAACAAAAAATGGACTTACACCACTTTCAAAATAAACGATCCAATTTTTCTTTTCCCTTATCTTTTTTTGTTTCCTTCTATCTTAAACTGTCTTTCTTCTTTGTCGATGGGGGTTTGCTCCAATTCTGGGGTAGAGCCATCTTTTGTCCAAGTAAGAACTGGTCTGACTGGTTTCATGGTTGGCTTTAAAAGGAGAGAAGAAACCTCAAAGGAACATTCTTTCAATGAGAGCAGAAGAGAGATAGAATGTTTAGCCTGATATAGCAGGAAGGTGGCAATTGCATGGCAAGGGACCTTTGCTATCTGAGAAGCCAAGAAGTTTGGACACTTTGTAGGATATTGTGGATTTGTGAAGGTTCTTTCAAGAGATGAGGATGTTCTCATTCAGGTATTTGACAGAAGAAAATGTTCAGGAACACATGCTCCTATTTTTATTTAAAAAAAGACTTGATCAAATGAAAGACTTGGGTACCCCTTTTGCTCTCTTTCACTTGTCTTTCTATCCTGTTACTTTCTCCCTCTATTGGTAAAATTCTTCTTGTATATTAGAATTAAGATTAGTATTAATTATTTAGCCCACTATTCTTGTCCTTGCAGTAGATTAAGCCTTCTGTTTTACTTAAAATATTTAGTACATGCCTTTTTTTTTTTTTCTTAACACTTGAGTGTTTGTTGGGAGTACACTTCTTTGCTGACATCACAGGTTGTGCATTAGTTTTCATTTCTATTTATATAATAATTTTATTTATTTGAAAATACAACCATATTTTTATATTTTAAAATTTATTATAAAATAAAAAATATTAACATCAAAATTTATCTACAAAAAAATATGAAAAATAAAAGAAAAATATGTTTATAAAACTTTTTGTTTCTTAGTAAATTTATAGGAATATTTGAATTTGTTAAAAAAACTGTTTAAAACTTCTGATAATGAATGTTTACTTCCTGAAAATAAATAAATACTAAGTTTGACTTTATATAAACTTTAAAATAATTTTAAAATTATTTAATGAATGTACAAAAATAATTTTGAATATTTTGTTAGAATTATAAAAAATTAAGACAGTTAAAATTTCAATAAATTATCTAAATGATAAATTTTATGAATATTTAGTATTTTTTACACTTAAATATAGAGATTTATTTTTTATTTTTTAATTTAGGAGTTAAAGTTGTACCAGGAATGCCTACTCCTCTAACAGATGCAAATGATGCAATTTCATTTTGTAAGGAAATTGGCTTTCCAGTTATTCTAAAAGCAGCTTATGGAGGTGGTGGAAGAGGGATGAGAATAGTAAGAGAATTGAAGGTNTCTTTTTGCAGATCAGCTCAACACTTTTTCCGCTATCATTTTCTGGGGTGGGCCGTAATTCTTGCTGAAATTGTAGTTTTTTTTAATGTAGTGTAGGACCTACAAACACTTGCCTTTTTCTTTTACCCGCGACCCCCCGTGTAAGGCTTTGCGGCCCCCTTGGGGGCCGCGACCCACAGGTTGAAAAACACTGCTCTAAAGACAAAGGTGCTAATGGATCAATTTGCAACTACATAAGAAAAGTTTTATACAGTCAACTCCCTATAACACGGGTTCCTATAGTTCGGATTCCTATATCACGGCGAAAAAATTGCGACATTTATTCATACAAACATGCTAAAAAAACTCCTATAATTTGGTAAAATGTCATCGCCGACTCATGTTGCAACAGGATTGCACAAATCGTTGAGTTTAAATGAGCAGCGGACCTATCAAAAACCATTTATTACTTAATGTCGATAAAAATTATATTTATATTAATGATGTCTCCAAAGTTCAGTGAATTTTTCGCAAAAAAAAATAATTTATCAGGAAACACGGGCCCGCCGTTTGATGCGCCGCTCCACGACGAAAACAAGCTTAAGCAATGGCGTCGTCAAACGGTGCACACTCGGTATGTAATCCTACAATTTTTTGTTTATAGCATAGTTTATATGGATTATTCACAAAAAATTATACATATTTTGGAAATGATGAGTTGAATTAGTCTAGAATCGATTAATTTTATGGAAGAAACCTTTCAAACAGCCGTAGTCCATAAACTGCATATGTGCCGGGCTGTGATTGGCTGGACTCCTAGAAGGTGGATTCATAAAATCAGGAACGTATCTACCGTGTCTTAGGGGGGTCAACTGTATAAGGTTTTATATATTATTTTAGTTAAATTTGCCTAAAAGAAATTTATATAATCAAATTGCATATTGATAAATTATTAAATTGGTAGAAACATTGCCAGACTTGACATAATTAATTTATATTTTTGAATTGACTAATATGCTAACATTTAATTTTCTCAAAACAACAAAAAATGGACTTACACCACTTTCAAAATAAACGATCCAATTTTTCTTTTCCCTTATCTTTTTTTGTTTCCTTCTATCTTAAACTGTCTTTCTTCTTTGTCGATGGGGGTTTGCTCCAATTCTGGGGTAGAGCCATCTTTTGTCCAAGTAAGAACTGGTCTGACTGGTTTCATGGTTGGCTTTAAAAGGAGAGAAGAAACCTCAAAGGAACATTCTTTCAATGAGAGCAGAAGAGAGATAGAATGTTTAGCCTGATATAGCAGGAAGGTGGCAATTGCATGGCAAGGGACCTTTGCTATCTGAGAAGCCAAGAAGTTTGGACACTTTGTAGGATATTGTGGATTTGTGAAGGTTCTTTCAAGAGATGAGGATGTTCTCATTCAGGTATTTGACAGAAGAAAATGTTCAGGAACACATGCTCCTATTTTTATTTAAAAAAAGACTTGATCAAATGAAAGACTTGGGTACCCCTTTTGCTCTCTTTCACTTGTCTTTCTATCCTGTTACTTTCTCCCTCTATTGGTAAAATTCTTCTTGTATATTAGAATTAAGATTAGTATTAATTATTTAGCCCACTATTCTTGTCCTTGCAGTAGATTAAGCCTTCTGTTTTACTTAAAATATTTAGTACATGCCTTTTTTTTTTTTTCTTAACACTTGAGTGTTTGTTGGGAGTACACTTCTTTGCTGACATCACAGGTTGTGCATTAGTTTTCATTTCTATTTATATAATAATTTTATTTATTTGAAAATACAACCATATTTTTATATTTTAAAATTTATTATAAAATAAAAAATATTAACATCAAAATTTATCTACAAAAAAATATGAAAAATAAAAGAAAAATATGTTTATAAAACTTTTTGTTTCTTAGTAAATTTATAGGAATATTTGAATTTGTTAAAAAAACTGTTTAAAACTTCTGATAATGAATGTTTACTTCCTGAAAATAAATAAATACTAAGTTTGACTTTATATAAACTTTAAAATAATTTTAAAATTATTTAATGAATGTACAAAAATAATTTTGAATATTTTGTTAGAATTATAAAAAATTAAGACAGTTAAAATTTCAATAAATTATCTAAATGATAAATTTTATGAATATTTAGTATTTTTTACACTTAAATATAGAGATTTATTTTTTATTTTTTAATTTAGGAGTTAAAGTTGTACCAGGAATGCCTACTCCTCTAACAGATGCAAATGATGCAATTTCATTTTGTAAGGAAATTGGCTTTCCAGTTATTCTAAAAGCAGCTTATGGAGGTGGTGGAAGAGGGATGAGAATAGTAAGAGAATTGAAGGTATAGTATATTCTTAATATAAAGTAATACACAAATAATTGCAATAATAAATCAGTTTACAAAATTATAACAGTATTTTGTAAAATATAATTTTTAGGATCTTCCAGAAAATTTTGAAAGAGCTGTATCTGAAGCTCAAGCAGCATTTGGAAATGGTGCTATTTTTGTAGAAAAATTCATAGAACGTCCACGCCATATTGAAGTTCAAATTCTTGGTAGGTTTCAATATTTGAAATTATACATATTTAAACTGATGGCCCAAATTATTTTTGAAAGTGATATGCATGATTGACATATTTACTTTTAATAAATAAATTTTGAGACTAAATTACTGTTATTGTTTGATATTTGATCATTTGAAATATATTAAAAAAATAAAGAAATAGTAAATTACAACAACAATAATAATAAATAATATTTTAAAAAATCTGTTGATTTAATAAAATGTGAAATATTACTTTACCGTTGAAAAATTTAATTTTTTCAGAATTAATAAAAAGTAATTACATCTCTTATTTTTAGACAACTTCAGAATAGACAATTATCTAGACAATAGAAAATAAAACACATTCAGGCAAGTAAAAATGGGTAAAGGAATAGGAATACCTCTTAGAATCAGGAAAAAAAAAAATATATATATATATATAAATATATTTTATTTATTTATTTAGTAAATATTTAGATCATATAATCCAAATGAATAAAATGTTTGCATGTCATCTACAATAAACCTTTTTTCACTTACTTTGAGGTGACTTCTCTGTGTCATATTTACAAGTGTGCAAACTTTTGCTTAGACAGACTTGTTTATTTGAGTTCTTTGAGTTTTGGCAGTGTCACCCAGCTTTCCTATAGATGTCTATTATCGTTCTTTAAAGAGATCATATGTCTAAAGTAACTTGTTGTGGGATACATAATAGATCTTTTAGGTTAAAGTGATTCTGCCCCTTGTGGGGGCAAAAGCCAGAAGCACTTTACAATCTACATCTACAATAAATTATATGTAAACTATATGAGCTGACATGAATAAACTCATAACTAAAAAAAAAAAAATGTATCTTAAGAGTAAAAATGGCAAACATTCATAAATTTGTCATTAAGTTTATTGATTATTAATATTTATCCTAAAAAGGCAAAAATGCCTGTTAGGATAAATTTCTAGTTAAATTTGCTATTTTATCAATGATTTTTCTTGATTTAGCTAAAATCTGTTTTCTAGTGGTGAAGTGCTTAAGAGGGGTTTGAGACATCCTACTCTTCCTAAATGTTTAACTTTAAAGTTTTCAATTTCATAATAATCAAGAATATTGAATAGACTGAGAAAAATTGCAAATTGTGGTTTTAATATTTTCTAACCAATAGATTGTGTATATATGAAACATTAGGTTAATCTTAGATAGCGGATTTCACATATTTCATATGCATCCCCCCCAATGAGATAATTGGCACAATCAGCAGCATTTTGTAGCAGTGAGACTAGACTCATCTGTAAATAAAATTCTGTATGTATATATAACTGGGGGATACTAAATCCCCAGTTATATGAACATACAGAATTTTATTTGCGGTTATATACAAATGTTCAAATGAATGTAATGTTACCAACAAAGTTATATGATGATATTCTGTGATTACTAACTCAAAATGGCAAGAGGTTGAGAGGTCATATGTGAGTGGCAATGGACACTGAGGCACAACTTTATTTCAGTAGTAACTTGTTATTGGAAGAATTATTTCCTTACAAGATTTAGTCTTGAGATAACAAAAATCTGGTTCCTTTGGACAAAAGTCCCAAATAGAGAGGAGGTGTCTTCCTAGCTGCTTTTGTAGCAAAATCATGAAGAGAATCTGTAGATAATATAAGCCGGGTTGAGATATATTCCATTTGTTAAACCTTTTAAGTTTTTAAATAATATGCAGTTATTTTAAAAATGTATAAATCATAACATCAATCTTGTAATATATGCAAGTAAAGATTTTTTTTACAGAATTGAACTTTATTTAATAATAATTTAATACATAAAATGATATCTTAGTGTTATCACAGATACTAAAATACTTAACAGATTTACTGAAAACTGATTAAAGAATATTTTTAAAATGCTTTGGAAAGATGTTTCTATTTAACTGAATCTTGTAAAAATATATTCTGGTTATATTTTCTTAGAAGTATTTTATGGCAATGTTTTTATTTTGATTCAATATTTAATTCTGAATGTGGAATTGAAATGAATAAATTGATGAATTGAATGAATTCATTTCAATATGAATAGATAAAAGGGGAATAATAGGCATCTAGCAGGAAAAATTAAGATGCATATTGTAAAAAATGACTGGAAAACAAAAAAAATTCATTGTTGTTTTTGAACAAAAATTTAGAATTTAATGATGGTTTATATTCATTCATGTTGATTGTAATTAAAATTTGTTTTTATGCTTCTACACGAAAATATACTTGATAAACTTCATAAAAATAAATGATTATTGAAAAGAGATTAAATGAAAGGAAAAATTCTAAAGATTTTACAAATGAAAAACTGGGTGTATACAAATAAAGATGTCAAAAACATTGCAAAAAATTAAGTTATTACATATAAAAAAAAATTTATATAGAAATTAATCTTGTTAAACTGAATTCAGGAAATTTTCTTGTATCTGTAATTCTTGAAATCATTGACTTCATCATTTAATCAGAAATAAATAGGCTAATTCTTAAATTTCTATAGTGATTGTTTGAATTCATCTGTACTTTGTTACAATCATGGATAACATGCTATTTTATAAAATAAATAATATCAAATTTGAGTTTAGGAACCACTGATCTGGCATATCAAAGTGGGCACTTCTGCCCCCTGTGGACATTGAAGGGATGAAAAGAATCTAGTGGGTGGCAGAGGGATGCTGCAAGCAGGGTACTGAAAAGTAACTATAGACTGAGAACCTTTTCCTTTCCTCTGTTAAAATTGGTAAGAAGAAATATTGCATTTAAAGGTTTCCAGATGTTGAGAATAATGTATGGTAAATACACAGTGTTAGATTCATGGAAATATTCTTAGAAAAACTTTTCTAAGTCTTTTTCACACAAGGGAAAATGTGTTGGGGGCATTGGATAAAAGTTTATGGAACCAAGTGAGGGTGGCTTGAAAAAGTTTGAGAATCACTGTGCTAGATTATTTTTTTTATATATATAATATGGCACAGAACAATGTTATAAGGTTTTTTGTATTAAAAGTACTTTCAAATACTTTATTTTAGTCTTTTTCAGTTAAAACTCACACAGACAGTAGATATTTACATATACAGTATATCAAAACCCATAAATTGGATGAATTCAAACTGAATAATTAATATAACTATGCTTTATGAAATATCTGCTAGTCATATTTTTTTAATGTTTTAGAAGGATAATATTGTTTTAAAGGAAAAATCTGAATTCTAAAGATATAGTAATTAAAATGGATAAATTTTAAATAAAACTTCAGAGATGAAATTTGTTATTAATTCAAAGTAAGTCATAGCTTTTTACAGCATATGAAGCTTTTCAATGTCCAAATTTTGAACCTGTGGCTATTAACATTATTGTTGAATTGGAAATGACTTACAATAAAGTCATTTCCAGCTTCAGAATTTGGACCTTACTCTGTTGTAAGATATTATTTAAAATTTTCTTAGAAGTAATTACTGTAGATATCAGGCTAAATTTTTAGCATATTGATATTAACATTTATTCTTCATTTCATATAAACAATTACAGTTATCATTAAATTTTTTTAATTTCAAAATTATAATAGCACAACTGAATAAGTAATTGTTCCTAAAATAATTTTTGTATGTTATATTTATTTTCAAACTTGAGATTTTAAATTAGGTAATGGTAGCAATACAACAGATTATATTCTTTCATTAGCAATTTAATATTCTCCTAAGATCAGCATTTATTTATATATGCCACAGTTTTTCTTAGAATTTATAAAGCTGCATTTTATAAAATTAATGTTTGATTAATAGTCTCTACATATGTTATTTCTTGCTCATCTATAATCTTCTATAGTTTAAGATTTCTTATAAGGAGAGAGAAATCTGTCTAAAGTGCATTGATGGAATTATTTTAATATCTTTAGAATACAGAATTATTTTAATTAAATAATCTTTATTAATATAGGCTATAAAAATAGCACATTTAAAATATAAAGTGTGTTCAATAAATAACCAGCCAAACACAACAGTATTAAACAGAAACTATTTATTTCAACAATAATTTCCCTGATTGTTAAGGCACTTATCCCATTGTGACACCAGCTGAGTTATGCGCTGTTTGAAGAAGGTAGCAGGATATTGGCATAGCCAATGTTGGACAGCATCTTGCACTTCAGTGTCTGAAGAAAATTGTCTGCCTTTAAGTGCCTTTTTGATTCCCCAAAAAACATGGAAGTTGCAGGGTCAGAGACTATAGGGAGGGTACTTGAGTACCTCCTAATGAAACTACTGTAGCAAGTCCTTTGTCATGTTGGCTGTCTGAGGATGTGCATTGCCATGCAGCAAGATGATATTCTTGAGTTTTCCTGGACACCTGCATTGAATTTGTGTGTGTAATGTAAGGTGTTGCAGTAGAGTGTTGCATTGTTGGTGGTGCTGCCATGCTGCATAAACTGAACAAGCAGAGTTCTCTGATTGTCAAAAAACAGAGTGAGCATCACCTTCCCTGCCGATGGTCACACACACTTGCTCTTTTTGGGTGGAGGTGAATGTGGGTGTTTCCATTGTATGCTGGCAGGCTTCGGCTCCAGATCATAATGAAATACTATGTCTCATCTCCCATCACAATGCAATGAAGAAAACCATTACCATGAGAAGCAAAACGCATCAGATGCTCCAATGACAAGCTCATCCGGTTGCTGGTCTGTTCTTCAGTGAGTGAATGTGACACCCACTGTGCACACACCTTGAAATGCAACATTTTGTGCACAGTACTGACATTCAGGTCTACTGCAACTGCAATGTGTAGCTGAGAGCAAATGACTGAGTCCGAAGAATCGCTTGGCGTTGATAAATTAAAAGTTTATTATTTACAATTAATCACATAGTTTCTGAAGAAACAAATGTACAAAAATTACAAACTAGGGAAATACAAAAATACTTGGGAACAACCTTGACAATACTACTGATTGATTCCCACATGCCGACAAAGGACTTAATTTATATCTAACTTAACTAATTTTACAAAATAAAAGGCCCTAGATCAAGATGGGGTTGAGATAAGAATTAAGAGACTTAGGTTTAGATAGAAAAAACAAGAAGAGAGTCAAAAGGGGATGACTGGCGAAAATAAACTTGAGTCTGCTATTTCAGAGGAACTTTCTGCTACTTGTCATATAGGTCCTTTCCTTCCCAGCTCTTCTCTCCAAAAAAGTAACGATTTTCTCCACTTTCCTCTCTCCATCCTCTTGTGCCAGTCCCCTTTTGACCAATCCAATGTCACACCCTTTTCCCTAGAGACCCATTGTATCATTGGGTCAACCAATCATGGTTAGGTCAAGAGAATAAAAGCCAGAAGTAAAGCTTATGAAAGAAAAATGATGGAAGAAAGAGAAACAAAAAGAAAAAAGGCTCAACCAAGCCACAAATGTCAGACTGTTATCCGTCTGTTTGCCAGCACCAAGTCGTCCACCATTTTCACATTCTGCAGTGTGGCTGCATGCTGCAGACATTCTGGTTGTTGGTCGTTCTTCATGCTTGAACTTCCTTCCCAATAATTTTTGACCCACACCTTCATCTGGACAAGGCTTAGGGTGTAGGCTGATGCATTCACTGATGAATTGTAGTGAATCCGCAACCTTCCACAAGTAATCTGATTACTCCACATTGTTCAACTTCAGAGGCTTCCATTGTCCAATAAAACCACTCAAACAAATGACTGAGGCTACAGATGTTCACCTTTATATGGGTATATCACTTTGGTGCACTACACATTTGCATCAAAATTTTCTGCTTATAGCTGTGCTCATTGGCTGGTTATTTATTGAACAAGCCATCAGGCTGGTTACCTGAGGGATGCATGTAATTGGGAAAAAATCCAGATCATTAAACTTAATTTTGTAGGTTTTGGTAAGGTAATGATGGTTAAGCCATGATATAATTTGATGAGGAAGATCAAAATTTTCATTTAACAATTTCAACAGTAAGTAGATCTGGAATGACAGAATCAAAAGCTTAGGCTGTATCAATATATAGCAAAGAGTTTCCTCTTGAAGGCATTTAAGATTTTATACTGCATTTCCAGTATTATTATAGATCAATAGAGAATAATGTAACCTTCATTCTACCAATTTAAATATAATTAATATTAATTTTGCAGGTGATAATGCTGGAAATGTCGTTCATCTTTTTGAAAGAGATTGCACAGTTCAACGAAGGCATCAGAAAGTAGTAGAAATTGCACCTGCACCAAATTTTGACAAAAAGGTAAAAGGTAATGTTGTAACTTGTATCCAGTAAGAATTTGTGAACATTTGATAGTTATTCCTTATCAACGATTTTCAATCTAATTTAAAGATACGAGATTTGATGACAGCCGATGCCGTTAAACTTGCTAGACATGTAGGTTATGAAAATGCTGGAACTGTTGAATTTCTTGTTGATGAAAAAGGAAATTATTATTTTATTGAAGTTAATGCGAGATTACAAGTGGAACATACAATTACAGAAGAAATTACTGGGTAAAATATTAAAACTTTTTAAACAATAATTGGATATTAACTTATCAGTTTTTTTATGTTCATTATTTTATTTTAAGTTATTATATAAGTTATATTTAAGTTATGCATATGGTATTGTTTTGTTTGTTGAAAGAATAATGTTCTTTATGATACTAAACTCACAGGCTTCAATCCCTTATATGTCTATTGGAAATAAGGGATTGTCTATTCATAGCAAAAATTTTGTGACAATTCATTGATTCCACTATTTGATATTTAAGCATGCTCTCATCTTTTGAATAGTTTTAACAAGCAATAAATTAAAAAAATTAATTAAGTTTAGAAAGTTATGAAGAAATGGTGACTGAAAATGAAATTTGAAATTCAAAACTCTTGCCTAGTATTCATATATGACCTACTGTCAGTTATACTAGCCAAATATTTTTAATTGGACTTTAGTTTTATATTTATTTTATAATAAAAATTATTATAATAGTTTATTTATTGCCACTTTAATCAGTGATAATTATTATAATATGGCGTTGTTGCATATTTGTTTAAAATTATTGTTAATTTAGAAAAACATTGATATAGTGTGTTCAGATAATATAACTTTCAGTGTGTTCATGTGTCAAATGAAAACTGAAGATTAAAATCTTCCCAATTTATTATTATTTAATGAAATTATTCTAAAACTTTTACAAAGTTTTAGAATAATTTCATTAAATTTCATTAAATTCATTCATTAAATTTAAAAATTTCTAATTATTTAGAATTAACCACTTTATGTAATATTTTATGATGTAAAATTGTCACATTGTTAAATACAAACCTCTAAACAATGGCCAGGAGGTAATTTTGTATAAATTTTTGTTAAAAAAAAAAATGAAAGAAAATACATTCCTGAAAAAATGGCTGCTGTTTAGAGGTTGACTTTAATCTATTTAGCTAAATAATAACTTATAGTGCATTTATTACTTACCTAACTAGGTAATTTTTTAAAGTTCTTGGAATAATAATTAACAAATAATAAAAATTTCTTAATTATTTATATAATTAGAACACAATAGTTATAAATTCAAAAATCTAGAAATTGCAATAGAGCATCAATTATTTGAAATAATCAGGTTGGAACAATTTTGGATCACACATTGTCACACTTAGTAGGAAAAGACGAATTGCCTAAATAAAATAAAAATATTAATTTTAATTCTTGTACAATAGTGGAAAAAAAACAGTCAAGGCACAGAAATTTATTCCTTATCACTTGTATGCATTGATGGAAAAAAATTGCCTAATTATTAAAAAGAAGCATTAATTTTTCATTGCAATTTACAAATAGATTGATTAAACTTTTAATTGAAAAAAAAAAACAAATACACAATAGCAAAATTATATTAAATAAAGTACAGAACTCATTTATTAAAAATAAATGAGTACTGTAAAATAAATATATAGTAAAAATAAATAAATAAATATAGTAAGAATAGATAAATAAAAAATATAGTAAGAATTATTTATTACAATTCTTTTTTGAAAGAAGTCACTTATTTTGCTTTGTGTGAGAATTGTAAGACAGAGAATAAGTTTTATTTAAATCAATTAGTAAATTAAAGTAATATTTTAGTGAAGAAATTAACACATTTCTGTTAAATTCGTGGGAAAGAAGGTAAAACTTTCTTTGGCAGAGATGTTATCACACATCTCTGATGAACATCTGTCCATTTGCATCAGAAATAATATCCCGTCAGATGTTACGAATAGTAAAATCCAATTGGAGAGAAATAGAATAAAAGGCAGAGAAATCGTGTTCTCAGGGCAGCCGACAATAATCCAGCAACTGCCATAGAGGGCAGAGGACCATATAGAACGAACACTGTCATATAGAAGTGTGGAAGCCATAGGAAGAGCATAGTCCTGCTCTGGCTCCTCCTCCACCAGTCTCCGAACTACATCTCCATCTGCCAAATATCACCAATTAACCTCCCCCATAAGAAGTATATTAATCAAGCTCCGATTGTGCGAGAGTGCAATGAATAGATCAACAGTTGTCAACTGAGATAGTATGTTTTATTGATGTAAACTCTGTCTCTCAATAGGCATGCTATTTATAGGTATATTTAGTGGATAGTTTATTTCATTTGTACTTATCATATGTCTACTAAATTCTATTTGTTGTTAGTTAATCCATCCGTCTGTTCTTTTGTTTAAACGGAAACTGATTGGGACTTCCCCACTCACATCGTAAGACCCTCCTATTCACGAGTAAGCCATCCAGAGACCCAGTGAGTGGGTCCTAACATCCCGACAGATCAAAGGGTTTGAGTCTAATCTTGAACTCCAGTATTCTCACACTTTGTTATATAGTTTTTATTTTTAATTTTTCTAATTCTGTGGCCTATTTGATTGTCATGAGAATTGAAAAATTGCTTTAGGATGCATTTCTAACTATGTCAATGCTGTTTCTAAAGCATCAAATGCTTCATTGTGTATATAATGAAGTATTTCATGCATTAGAACTCTGTGACTTATTAATCATGTTTTTCTATTTGTACTCTAATAAGTAAAACATAGCACTATTGTTGATAGAGATAGATCAATAGCAAGTCAAAATATATATAGATCACTGACAATCAGTATTAAATAAAAACTTTAATTTCTGGAATCAGTACTCCTTTGAAGTTAATTTGGTTAATCAGTTTTTCAGATAATCGACACACTATCGTATTCATAAACATGAAGTATTGCAACAAATAATACACAGAATTTTATGTAAAAATATTTTTTACATTGTTTTTTTACTTAAATTTTATTTTAATAGAATTGATCTTGTGCAATCACAAATCAAAATAGCTGAAGGTAAAACCTTACCAGAATTAGGATTGAGACAAGAAAAAATAAAAGAACAAGGCTGTTCAATTCAGTGCAGAGTTACAACTGAAGATCCTGGAAAGAATTTTCAGCCGGATACGGGAAGAATTGAAGTTAGTGTTAGATAGCAATATAACTTTGAAATTATTGTTTTAAGTAAACATTTTTTCCATCAATTAATTAATTAGATATTTTACATTAATTTAAAATTTTTAAAATTATATTGTAAGACTGTTAGTACTTTTACAATTTATTTGAATGTTTAGGTATTTCGTAGTGGAGAAGGATTTGGCATACGTTTAGATGGAGCTTCTGCTTTTGCTGGAGCTATCATATCACCACATTATGATTCATTACTTGTAAAAGTAATAGCACATGCTTATGATTTAAAATCAGCTGCAGCTAAAATGAATAGGACACTTAGAGAATTTAGAGTTAGAGGTGTCAAAGTAAGTAATGGAAAAATAACAAATCATGTTGATATAAATTGAATATTTAATTAAATGTTCTTGTTTCAGACAAATATCCCATTTTTATTAAATGTGTTAGAAAATGAAAATTTCTTAAATGGAACAATAGATACTCACTTCATTGATAATCATCCTCAACTTTTTCATTTTGAGCCTACTCAAAACAGAGCTCAAAAATTGCTTCATTATCTAGGTAATGTTATGGTAAATGGTCCAATGACCCCCTTAGCTACTAAACTGATGCCTGCTGAAATCTCTCCCACAATTCCTGAAACTCTACCAGGTATGTGTATGCTTAATAATCTAATTTTTTAAATATTTTTATTTTAATTAAAAAATTTCATTCATTCAGGAAAAAACCCTCAAAAGGGTTGGCGTGATATTCTTATAGAGAAAGGACCAGAAGAATTTGCAAAAGCTGTCAGAAACCATAAAGGGTTGCTTTTAATGGATACGACATTCAGAGATGCTCATCAGTCTTTATTGGCAACTCGTGTGCGCACCCATGATCTTTTAAATATATCTCCGTTTGTTTCTCATAATTTTAATAATTTGTTCAGCTTAGAAAACTGGGGTGGTAGGTTTCCAGTCAAGTCATTCAACTTGTCAACTTAATTAATTTAAAATTAAAATATAAATTTAAAAATTTACAGGAGCAACATTTGATGTGGCAATGAGATTTTTGCACGAATGTCCTTGGGAACGTCTTGAGAAAATGCGTGACTTGATTCCAAACATTCCTTTTCAAATGCTTCTGAGAGGAGCTAATGCTGTTGGTTATACGTCATATCCAGATAATGTTGTATTTAAGTAAGCTTTTCAAAGCATTTTATTTTAATGATAAGGAAATATATATATTAACATAATTAAGTAATTAGAATTAAATTCACTTTATTTTAGAATTTATATAGGCCAATAATTGGAGAAATAAGAAAATTTTGTTGAATCATATTAAGTTGGCTTTAATGTTATGTAATAAACCTGATTTTTTTCATAGTTACAGGTTAATGGTATATTTACTTTTGAATAATATGAACCATTTATTAGTCAAAAGCCAAATAAATATACACCATGATTACAATATAATTTTAATAAAGAAAAAATATAGTAGTAATGAAATCAAATAAGTATCATCAAATTTTGATGTTTAAATTATTTTATATTTTGGATATAAATTTTTTCTTAAAGAATGCTAAAAATATTTTAACAAGATTACTTTTAGATACAACAATGACAGGAGGCATTTTTTCCATTTTCATATTTAATAAAAGTTACAAATAAACTGGATACTTCTGTAAATAAATCCTGGGATTAATTACAGAAACTAGACTGTGCTAACTTTATTGTAAAATACTGAAGACAAAAAATAAGCTTGGATTTACTTTTGAATACTTATTAATAAAAATTACATTATTTGTTAAATATCAGAATAATCAAACTATCAAAATTGTATTTGTTCTTTGTATTTATATTTTCATTAATAATGTTTTCTTGATATTATATCACTGTTCTGAGGAAACTCTTGATTCAAATTGTACACAGTTAATGAAGAAAAAAGAATTGAATGAAAGTTTATTTAAAATATGTACAAACCAGACAAAAATAGTTTCAACACTTTAAACATGACAATGGAAACAGTTATCCTCGAGGAGGAATCAAGGAAAAAAGTAATTTTATGTTTGAAACATAGAATTATACATCATCTACAGAAGACAGTTAGTAAACAGATCTGTGGACACAGTTATTTGATTCTCTTGTCATAGTATAATTGTGATTAGAATAAGTCTAGACATAATGTTTCACCATTCTTCCAACTTCTATAAAACTGATATCTAGTCGAAACTTAAGCAAAACTAGTTCTTCTCTGACTAGAACATACCTTATTCTTCTCCAGACTACACTAGACTAAGTCCACACAGACACAAGAAAAATTTACATACTTTCATAAGTTACAACATTCTTCTTTCTCCTTTGACCAGAATCTTCAAAACTTTCAGTGATATTTCATAATATCCAAAGAATTCAAAAATTCCTAAATACATCATATAGTTTTGTTGTTTTATTTATTTTACAGCTATACACAGGTAATGTGTCAGAGACAAAAGATTGCATTCCCCAGGTAACAAGAAAAGTATTCTGATAAGAATAAAGAATTAAAAAATATATGGTAATTTTATGTTTCATTCTTTAAATTGATTGCATATATTCCTTACAATTCTGTTTGGCACCACTTACATTACTGGACAATCCTAGTTCTAATTCCTCTTCATTATTAACAAGGTTATGTCTTGTTTATAGAATTGTGGTGCTGTCCTGGCTTATCAGCTTAGAGGTATGAAGGATTACATGTCAGGAGTTGCAATTTGGCACAGAATATTAGGTGCCCAAATCGTGTGCATAAAAAAAACCAGACTTGTAGGTACTCAGGGGACCGAGAACCAAGTCAAAATAAAATACAAAATGGCAATACTCTTTCTACAAACAGGCACTAGTGCGAGATTTGTGCATGCGTTGCTCATTAGGAAGTTGGAAATGTGAACATTGTGAAATTGAATTTTGACAAAGGAATCTTTGAAAAACCCATTTACCTGTCCTGAGTTATTCCCAACATATCTCTGGTTGAGACATGCTGACCTTGACCGGTTGACCCGAGCTATCTCGTTTCAGCATCGGAACATTTTTGAAACTAGATGGTGCTAGTCGTTATAATTTTATATTACAATTAACTTCCGGAATATAATTGTTTTTCTTTTTACATTTATTAATATATTGTTTGTGCGAAATAAAAAAAATAATTTCAGATGATACAATAGCCACAATTATTTTTTTCAAAAACGGGAAATTTTTGTTAGGCATTGACAAAAATTCAACCTGGGTGACATGCAACAGAGAGAAATTTCGACATTGGATAGGTTAATTCCACCAAAAATGACGCTGTGGCTGGCAAAGTTTGAACGATCGCGCTCAAAACCAGCAATACCAAAGAAGATTGGAGAATGAGACCTGCCGTTAGCATCAAAGTGATCCCACTTAGTAGTGAGTCTCCAAGACAGTCTTGTCCAAATACGGCCCTGCTGTTTTACTTGTTTTTAGACTTACGTTTATGGCTTTTTCCCTTTGTTTTGCTTGATATCAGACATTATATTAAGTAGGCATGAAGGAAAGGAAATTACCATTATTGAAAGAGATTCATTCATACAGTGTTTTGGAGTTTGAATAAATTCAAACATCTGTCTTTTTTAGTTAGAGAATATGACCATAATTAAGATTTTTAACTGTTGCAGCTCTCATAGTGCAAAATTTCTGTTGTTTACTGGCTCTTCAGTTATGATATTTTCTCAACTGATGTATTACTTCAGTCATGTGAATACCAATGCATTCACTTGACTGAAGTCTACAGATGGCACCGAGGAGGGATTGGAATTTAAAGCCCTCATTGACATCAGGGAACATATCTATCAGTGAAATGAGAAGAGAATCTATTTTCAGCAATCCCACAGGATTCTAAACTTTTTCCCTCATCTCAGTTAAAAGAATAAACTGTTTCTTGTTACTGTAACAATAAGTTAATTTGTTACCTGAAAAATACATCTGCATTATGTCCATCACTTCAAGAGACATTATCTCTCTCTCTAAACTTTTGACCCTAAGCAAACATAGTATCCAAGAATGAGCTTATGGATTTACTTTTGAAAGTGTTTGTTTATGGAAAAAATCCAATAATATTCATAAACATTTTCAGATTTTACTATACTAGTAATTACTAAGCATATTGACACAGAAAAACGTTAACCAAATAATATATTAAATTTGCTTTTTCCAAATTATGAATTAATTACAAGTAAAACGAATAATTACAAACTTTCAATTCTATGCATGGAAAGCTAGAACTTCTGTAAATAAGTATTATAAAATCTTCCACACTTTTTCTAGCAATTTCTTTAATCAAACTAACATTTTCAACTATATTTAATGGCCTTCCTCAGGTTCTACAATATTGGAACGTCAGATATTCGAAAATTTGTTTTCGTTCTTATGACGTCATTGTTTTTACAAAAAAGTTTTTTCTTTCCTTTTAACATTAAATATAGCTGAAAACGTTAGTTTGATCAAAGAAATTGCTAGAAAAAATGTGGAAGGTTTTATAATACTTATTTACAAACTTTCAAATTAATATCCATATATTTTGGATATATTTATTATATTCCTTGAAAATATTAAATTTAAATAAGTTTGAATGCTTGAAAAAATGATTCTCTGTGTAATAGATTTATGAAATTTAACTATTCAATAAATTATAGCTATTGCTATTAAAGCAAAAAATTTCTAATAATTGACCAAGATCACACAATTAAGTTTTGAAGTTATTTGATTATTTATTGCCATTTGGATTGATGATGATATTGCCAACTAAATTTATTATGTAATAGCAAATACTCCTCAACCAAATTACAACTTTATATGTTTATTAATAGGTGAATAAGCCTACTCAGCCTTGTGAAGTTTTCACGTGTCCAAATTTTTTAAGCATTAGGAATTATTTGAAACAGAAACAATAAATCAACAGCAATTGAACTTGTAAAAACGTGATCAAAGAAAATAATTTTTTTGGCTTGTGTTATCATGGAGGATGAAATTTTTCCAAAATTAAAATCTATTACCCAAGATGATGATTTGCAGTTATGGAAGATATAAAAATGAACATAAAACAAATTTTGTATAACCTCATAGTTGACAACCCAGCAGCTGTTTCAATTAATAGTGAATTCATTATACAAAATGCATGAAATCAGAAGAGCGAGATTATGTTGAAACTTTTTAACTGTTTCATGTTTATATGATTAAAAATTAAATTTAAAGACTTTTACTCTTGAAATTTAATTTCTTGATCTTGTATCTGTTTTAACAAGAGTATATTTGGAAATCTAAATGTATAAAGATTCTAATTTTCTTTTCAGTTTATTGATAAAATAGCTATAACTTGTGAATTATCATGTTAAATTATTTAAACGTGCAATAAAAATTTTGCTTTAAAATACTTTCCATTTAAACTGCTAATTACTGAATAATAATAATAATAATAATTGCAAAGTGTAAGCATATTATTAAATTTATTGTATGATAAACTTCCAAACAACAATCTTAAATAAACCATAATATCATTTTTAATAAATTTCTGTTTATGATGATATATTATTCTCCATTATTTTTTCAATTTGATATGTTGTTATAATGTGAGAATTTTAATTCTGTCAAAATGTTCTTAAGATTTGAAACTGAATTTCCGACGAATTTAAATTTTAACAATACTCTTCTACAGGTTCTGTGAATTAGCAAAACAGTGCGGAATGGATATTTTCCGTGTGTTTGATTCTCTTAATTATCTTCCAAACTTAATGTTAGGAATGGAAGCAGCTGGAAAAGCAGGTAGGATTTTTTAAAAATTAACTATTGGTGCTTTAGTTCATGATACTAATGTATTTGTTTTGAATAAGGTGGAGTAGTTGAAGCATCTATTTCTTACACTGGTGATGTGTCTGATCCTTCAAGAAAAAAATATGATCTCAACTATTACCTTAATTTGTCTGATGAGTTAGTAAAAGCAGGAACTCATATTTTAGGAATTAAAGTATATTATTATTTTTATCAACATTTTATTTATAATATATTTATTCATCATTAAATAAAAACTATATTTTAGGACATGGCAGGTCTGCTTAAACCTAGAGCAGCAAAATTATTGTTGACTTCTTTGCGAGATCGTCATCCTGATATTCCCATTCATGTTCACACACACGATACTGCGGGAGCCGGAGTTGCTTCGATGTTGGCATGTGCAGAGGCATCTACCGATATTATAGATGTTGCCGTGGATTCCATGTCCGGAATGACTTCGCAGCCTAGTATGGGTGCTATTGTTGCTTCACTGAAAGGATCAGATTTGGATACTGGTAAATGATCCAACAATATAAATTCACAATCTAACAGATCTGTAATTTACTCTAAATTTAATTATAATAATATAGGTCTGACATTGGAGAATGTTAGTAAATATTCTGCATACTGGGAACAGACTCGCACCCTTTATGCACCATTCGAATGTGCTGTCACTATGAAAAGTGGCAATGCTGATGTATACGAAAACGAAATTCCTGGTGGACAGTATACTAATCTCCAGTTCCAAGCATTTAGTCTCGGACTAGGTGATCAGTTTGAAAAAATCAAGAAAACATATATAGAAGCTAATAAATTACTTGGAGATATTATTAAAGTTGGTATACTGTTTATAAAAAATTAATCAAAATCATAAAAGATGATTTATAAATTTATACACGTTTGTTAAATATTATATAAAAACTTTAATAAAATTATTGATTTGCAGGTCACACCATCTTCTAAAGTAGTTGGGGACCTAGCTCAGTTTATGGTTCAGAATAAGTTAACAGCTGATGATGTAATTGAAAAAGCAGAAGAACTTAGTTTTCCTAGTTCTGTTGTAGAATATATGCAAGGTTATATTGGAATTCCTTTTGGTGGTTTTCCAGAGCCACTTAGAACCAAGGTAAATTGTTCTGTAAAATAATTTTGCATATTGTTGTGGGCAGTTTAAGTTTATACTTCTTTAATTGAACAGATTGTAAGAGATCTTGATAAAGTTGAGGGTAGACCAGGTGAAAGTCTCCCTTCATTAGATTTTGAACAGTTAAGGGATGTCGTATCTGGTAAACATGGCCGTTGGCTGGATACCGATGTAATGAGTATGGCTCTTTACCCTAAAGTATGTAGTGAATATTTTAACTTCAGAGATGAATATGGACCAGTAGATTTGTTAGATACTAGAATATTTTTAGTTGGACCAAAAGTGGGAGATGAATTTGAGGTAAAGTTTTATCTAAAGCTGCTAATTTAAAATTTCTGTTTTGATAACAAAGACTGTTATTACTGATAGGTGACTATTGAAAGAGGAAAAACATTACATATTAAAGCACTAGCAGTATCAGAACACTTGACTTCTCAAGGGGCCAGAGAAGTCTTTTTTGAAATGAATGGACAACTTCGTTCAGTATTCATTCGAGATTTATCAATGAATCAGGTAATTTAAACAGTGAAAGGATGAAAAATGCATGTTATTTTTTCAAAATACAAAAATATCCACATTTTAAATTTGCAGAATGTCGAGATACATCCAAAAGCACAGAAAGAGGTACCTGGTTCCGTCGGGGCACCCATGCCCGGTATTATCGTAGATGTCAGAGTCATTGATGGACAGAAAGTAACCAAAGGCGAACCACTAATTGTTTTGAGTGCTATGAAAATGGAAATGATAGTCCAAGCACCCATCAGTGGAACGGTGAAAAAGATTCATGTCATAAGTGACATGAGAGTAGAAGGAGACGATCTGTTGGTTGAAATCGAATAAATAAAGCATATTTATATTAGTTTAATAATACATCAAAAGGAATAGAATATCAAAGATATAACACAAAAACAAACCTAGACTGTGATGTTTAGATTTGTCTAAAAAATGTGTGTAAATGTTATAAGGATTAAGTTTGTATATATAGTTTGAATCAAAACTGTATATATTTGATTTGTAATGACAAAATTATTTGGCCATTCTTTAAAATGATGATAATGTATAATATATATATATATATAATTTTGTATAAACTGTGGGGAATGTAATTTTTCAACATTTCTGTGATTAATATGAAGTTTTTTTATATGTTTGATATGTTTTCTTAACAATTTGCAAAAGTATATTTTAGAAAATGTGAAATAGTGCCTTTATTACAGTTCTATTTTGTTTAATAGCACTGTATAAAGTTTCTAATAAAGACATTCAAATAGTTATTTTCTAGTTTAAAGATTAATTTATACTGAAGTTAACAAGCTCAACACTATCTTGCCTTCAGACATAATGTAGCAGAAGAGTGTATTTAAATGATTACTTTTCCCTGAATCAATGAATTTTAGCAACATTGCAAAACTATTTACATTATAGCAATAACTGCTGTATAACATTGGGCTAAATATCGGCTATAATATTTATAAATTACCGATAAACTTGACCTTGGAGGGAGGTGTCAGGTGTAATAAATTTATTTAATTAAATTATAATTAAATTTATTACAAGATGGCACTTAACACCTCCCTCTAGGTCAAATTTATCGGTAATTTAGCTGATATTTAGTACGTTATACAGCAGTTATAGCTTTATTGTAATGTGTCTGGTTTTGTAAGATGTTTATATTTGCTATTTATATTATTGATCATAGTTACATTTTAATAAAATTATAGAAGTCAGCAAATTTGTTAAACATTAGAAAACCATAGAGAAGTAATTTTAGGTTTGTATCTTGAAATAAAATTGCACTTAGTGAATTATCAAAGAACAGAAGAAAAACTAAATTTTCCTTCATAAAAATGCTTTGCATTTACTTATATGCTTGCAAGCTTAAAATGCAAACATTTGTTGTAGATATTTGCTATGTTAAGTATCAGACTTAACTGTTATGAATATGGTAAATCATATAAGTGATAAACAAAAATAATTTTAATTTAACTGAGCATTCATTCACAAAAGATATATTAAGAACACATGCACAATTGTCAATTTTAATATAAAACTTGATTAAAATTTCTAGGAAAATCGTTATGTTATTGTGACAATCTTTCAGTATAAGTAAATCATTCAAAAAGCATAGCATAAACCAGTGTTCCGCAACCGGTGTGTCATCACAAAGGTTGAAGGTGTGACGAAAACTTTACATATTTTATTAATTTCAAGTTTTATTTATATATTTTAATCACAATCTGTGTTTTTTATGCATGTATTCCATTCTCTGCCTCAGCACTGATGAAATAAGATGATGTTTGTTTATTCTTTATTACAAGCCATGCATTTTTATGTATTCTAAGAAATAAAATGTAAAATAAATTTGCTCACAGGTGTTGGTCTGTTTAATAATAATAGGTTTGTGGCATTGTGTAATTCTATTAATAGTATCATATCATATGTTTTTGAGGAAAATAACATTTTGGTGTGCAGTGTTGAGTCATAGGCGTGTGGCAAGAAGAAAAAGGTTGCGGAACACTGGCATAAACAACAGGAAAAAAGTAAACAACTACAACATTTATCTTTAATCTTGTCTCAATAAATCATAAAGTATAGTTTTAATTTTAACATATACATTAACTGTTCATAAAAATGTTCTATTTATGTAGTAGAAATGTTTGCTTTAAATTTTACGATAGACATAGGAAATCCTCATTATTTTAAAATTCAAGCAACAAAATAATTGAGACTTGGATAATTCAAAACATGATAATTCAGAGTTATATATTTCTGTACAATATGCCAAATGCCACATAACTGATATAATTTATTAAGCAAAATGAATACAGCTATGTATAAAAAACATTACTTTTGTTAATATAAACAAACTGTAGGTAAACAGCACATGTCCAATGATAATCTTGTAGGTTGCCATACAGGTTTTATAAAAAGTAAAGAATAATTCTTGAAATGTAGCCCGAATTATTTTTAAGGTGACCCAAAAAGTAGTAAGTTGCCCAAATCCAGTAGCATAGATCCCTACAAATATATCAATCTTGCAACCCTGAAACCCAGCTATATTTTATGAGAGAGGAGAAAAAAGGTAGTTAATGGATAAGGTGAAACCCAAAAATGTGTTAATGTAAAAGCAAAGCCAAGCTGACCAGATTAGAGTTGTTTGTGGTCTATTATTCTCTTATAGATCAAAGTTCACGTGCCTCCGTACTAAACTTACAAGTTAACATATACATTTCACAGTTTGGACAGAAATTTCACTTCAAATTTCAAAGTAGCCATTTTTTTTAACTAAATTAACTCCTTAACATGTAAATTTCCATCCCTGGCTGGGACAAATAGTATAGTTATAAAATTCATTAATGCAGACAATTTGTTTCATTCATTATCAGCCTAACAAAATTCTAAAAATGTGATTGATGTAAATTTATTTAATAAAATAGTTTAAGCAGTTTACTTTATAAATTTATTCTGATGTAAATATATTGTACATGAAGTAAAAACTGGAATTATCAGAAATATTTAAATTGGTAAAACTAGATGACGATTTACCTCGATGCAATATGTTTTAATTTATTTTTAAAATGTCCTCAAATTGTTTTTAATTCTTTTATTCTATATCAAAAACACTGTACAGGATTTGCATTTTACACTATTGGATAAATTGTTTGATAAAAATCCATAATACTGAAAAACAATGACAATATCACTTCAAAAGTAAACTTTATAAATTAATATAATGGTTAAATATATGATTTACATTATAAGGAATTGAGAAGTTTGTGGTTTTGCATCATTCGCAATCATTTATGTAATTTTTAAACAATTTGTATTTATGAGTATGTAAAATTTAACTTGAGATTTATTTAAGTCCATTATGATAGAGAAAACTTAATAGATTTCAGATCTCTGACAAGTAGTGAAAAATAGCAAAATTAATCTTGCCAATTAATATTTAAATTTTGAAAGACTGCATCAGTTACCATGGTCCATCCAGAATCTGGAATAGGCATCTTCGTACAGAAGATAGGTAATCAACGTCCGAGGTAACTGCAGTCTGTATATTGCATCGTTCAGTGCGTTGCGACCGCGATGAATTTTGACGAGATGACGACGGATGCATATGCGACAGAAGACGGACAGTGTGGATGGTTTCTCTGAAAAGATTTATGTGGAAAATTTAAAGCTTTAGACTCTTACGTGATTTAAAAATTAAAATTTCTTACCGATTTCTTTCAGAAAAGTCTCCCATGAAAGTGCATCGTAATCATTGAATTTGATTCTGCTCTCTTGCAAGATGTCTACACACTCTCGGAATTCTTTGGTCATTCCGTTGAAAAGAAGTAAAATATACAATATGTGCAATGTCTGATTCCAACTGTAACCAAAGGCAAACAACAAGTTGACAGAATAATGAATGAAAGGAACATTTCCCGTAGGGAACAATAACCTTGGGTCTGCGCCATGGAATAATAAATGCAAAAACAATTTCTTATTTTTTAATGCAATCAAAAGTATTTCTGCAAATGGAACACAAGTCCGTTTGTAATTCACATCACTTCCATGATCAATTAGCTTGTCAATTAGCAAAAACGAGGATTTCACTAAGGCTGAAATTAGAAAAATTATATATACTGAAAAATTTTCTTGTTTTACATTATAATCTTATCATGCATTTTTATTATAAAATTCTTTAAGATTTATTCTAAACCCAATAACAAACACTGGATATTCATGTGTGATGGTGTAATACATAAATAATTAAAACTCAAGTATGTATAACCATTTACAAGTCACAGAAGTATCATTATAAAATCTAAAGATTGTATATAATGAAGTGTAAAAATAAGAGGAAAAATTATTTATTCATTTTATTATTATTTGTTAAATACTAGCAGATGAGCCCAGCATTGCTTGGGCAAAAAGTAACGATAGCGAAGATAAAGATTATTAGATTATAATCCCCTATTCTCACCCAGATTCTTTAACAATATACAGTCAACACACATTTATAACCCATTTCATGGACCATCATCAGGTTAGACGTTCGAATCCATGCCATAATGAAGAAGCAAAGATATAATGAAGCCCTAGAAAACTACATAAGAAAAACTGAGTGTGAAAGAGTGGACCATGGTATAGTGGAAAAAATCAACAGGAAATTGGAAAAATCACCCATTCTTCCCTTTCCTGAAAGGGGCTCATATCACCTGCCCGAGTGTACCCAGGCTGTTTGGGTTCACGAAAACGCATAAAAACAACAACGAAATTAGGCCAGTTGTAGAGAAATATAAAGGACCCACCTATAATCTGGAAAAACTTATGCATAAGTACTTGTCGGAGCTGATTGAAGACTACCAATTTGTCACAAAAAACACGTTTAACTTGATAAATGATCTGCATGAGCTATTGTTAATGGATAACAAAGTTGGGTCAGTTATGGACTTCGAGAGCATGTATCCATTGATAAATCTTACTTCATGTTTTGATGCACTAGTAAACCTATTATGTGAGTTGCACCCGAATGCATCTGAACAACGAAAGGACCTTGAGATGATGGTGGATCTTGTATGCTTTCAATCATTTTTCAGTTTTGAAGGTAAAATTTTTAAACAGTTAAGGGGAGTCCCGATGGGCAGCCCAATGTCTGGCCTGCTCTGTGAGTTAGTGGTGAGAAAAATAGAGCGCTCTGCACTTATCAACTATAATGAAGACGTAATCCTATACAAAAGATACGTTGATAATGTGCTAATTGTATGGAAGAACGACACAAAGATACAACAATTCTTGACCCAAATGAATTCCAACCAGCATGGTTTAAAACTGAACCTGGAACAGATTAGTTGCAAAGAACTAATTTCTTGGACGTTAACATTGAATTTAGGAATGGATCACTGTGCACAAAGGAATGGATCACTGTGCATCAAGCCTACTCATGATCCAATATATATACCAGCGACATCTAATGATCCAACGGTATATAAACTCTCTGCCTTTAGGGCTCTAATCAGAAGAATGTTTCTGTATTGCTCTAACGTGATAGACATGATAGAGGAGCTGAATAGAATTAAAGAAGTAGCGAAAGGGTTGGGATTTGGAACAAGATCTGTAGAGCAAGTGACAGACTACAGAGGCTGTACTGTATATAGATGACAAGTGCAGTTATTGCATGGATGCAAATATCATGATTAAATTCAACTTACAGATATCTTTTATAATTTGAATTATAATAATTAAAAATATAAAATTACCTGGAATAAGTGGATGTAAAACATCGTCTGATGTTGAATTACAATTGGCACCAGCTTCCAACAGAATGTCAACTGCTTCTACATTTTCTTTTCCAATAGCATAAGACAAAGCAGTCTCATAAGTTGGACGGAGAAATGTGAAAAACTGGGGTTCGTACCTGGTTCCACGCTCGCATAAACAATCAACAGGAAATCCTCTTTCCAGTAAGAGTTTCAAGCATCTATTGCTGTAACAAAAATATAATAAAAAATTAAACTAATTTTAAGAATAACTTCTTGATTTTTTTTTTTTTGTTAAAAATTTCAAAAATTCTTGCTATGCTCTTGAGTAAAGTGAATTACAGTGGGTGATTGGTTAACGAGCATAATCTGTTCCAAGACTTTGTTCGTTATCCTTATTGTTCATTAACCAATTATCGATTTACCATAGATTTTTATGGGAATTTGATTAATTCATTCCAGAGACTCCATAAAATAAAAAAGTATATACTTTTTTACTACACTTATTTATATGTAATAATAAAAAATATATATATATATATATATGCAGTCTTGCATTTTTATTAGTCATGTTTTTTCCATTTGTGGGGGTTAAAGAATCTGTCCTTGCTTTACTTGAATTATATGGTTGATTTTAAATTCTAAAATCTAAAAAAAAACTTGTTTGAAACTATATGAACAGTATTTTCAATTCAATATTTCGAATTTTTCGAATTTTGGATTTATTGTTTTTGGGAAATGATGGAAATTATTAAAATATTTATTAATTGCCAAAATGTATACTATATGTGCGACTATTTACTTTCTTTATTTATTATTTACACTTTATACCGACTAAAATTGACTTACTCCTCCTCTTCCCTCGAGGGGGTTGAAATTTCCAAAAATCCTTTTTTAGTGTGCATTTTCATGATGTCCCCCACTAAAATGTAGTTAAAAACAAAAAAACCACATCTAAAATAGTACAGTAGAAGCTGAGTTTTTAAGGATAAGACTTAATCCTCTCCCTCTCCCCTGCGGGGGAATTTCGAAAAATCCCTTCTTAGTGTACAGTACATTCTCGTGACATACCCTGTGTACCAACTTTCAATTTTCAACTCCTAACCGTTTGGGTTCTGTGCTTATTATCATTATCATCAACCCATCTCAATTATATTGTAAGATTACATTCTGTTACCTACAAATCTTACTACCTTTGCAACTCATTTCTATCGTTATTTTATCTACCCTGTTTTAATAGCATGATAAGCATCATCGTATTTAATCCTTTTCAATGACACCCTCGGTCTTTGCGAAGGACTGTGAATTTTTATTTAATATTTTTATTACAGTATGGAACAGAAAAGGAAAAAATTGTCTGGAAGTCAATATAAAAAGAAACGCTTAGAGAAAAGGGAAGAAGGAAAAAAGCTAAGCTATGTTATAAAAAAATTCTTAGTACAAAAATCCTGTTTAGATGAACCGTCCATATCCACATCAACAGTGTCTGCTTTAGATTTGGCAAATAAAAACTCAGTGCCACCCCAATCACTTCCAGAAGAAGTTGTTTAAGAGAGCCAAAAAATAACACCATCAGAAGTTCATCAAGAGCTGAGTAGTAGTAGCAGTGGCAGCCAGCAGATATTAAATGAAATTCCTTCTGATCCTGCATTATCAAATGCTTTTTGCATGTCATCTGAAACTTATCAAATACTAGTGGAGAGGGGTCCACATCAAATAAAAGAATTCGAGTTGCCTATTAATAAAGGAATGTGTAGATTTTTGCCCTTGCATTATTCGAAAGTGTTGAGCAATGGTGAAGTCGTTGAGAGAAGTTAGTTGATTTATTCTGTTACAAATGATGCTGTTTTTTGCTATTGTTGTATTTTATTTGATAATTCGTCTGCTATTAGTGACTGGCCCAAAAAAGGCTATTCTGACTGGGGAAATCTTCCAAGAACCCTGACAATGCACGAAAAGTCTGTAAATCACAGAAATGCATTTAGAGCATGGAAAGAATTGGACATTCGATTAAAACAGAAAAAAACTATTGATGCTGAATATCAGCAAATTATGTATATAGAAATTCAGCATTGGAAAGGAGTTCTAAAAAGAATTATGTCAATAATTAAACTATTGTCCTCACAATGCTTAGCTTTTCGTGGAACAACTGAACATTTGTTTCAGCCTAATAATGGAAACTTCCTAAAGTTGGTTGAATTGCTTTCTGAGTTTGATCCAGTTATGGAAGAACATATCAGGAGAGTTCAATGCGAGTCTGATAAATGGTCTGTGACTTATCTAAGCAATAATATACAAGATGAATTGATAAATTTGATGGGAAGTGTAATTTTAAGCAAAATTGTCAAAATAACAAAAATTGCTAAATATTTTTCAATAATTGGCGATTGTACCCCAGACGTAAGTCATATTGAACAGCTCTCATTAACAATAAGAGTTGTCATTTTTAACTCCATTCAAAATAAATATAAAATCGAAGAATTCTTCATTGGTTTTTTGAAGCTTGTGATTCAACTGGAGAGGGTTTGACAGAACTTATTCTGACACATTTGGAAAAGTTAGGTTTCGAGTTAAAATGGCTTAGAGGACAAGGCTATGACAACGGAGCTAATATGAAAGGAAGAAGGAAGGGTGTACAAAATAGAATACTTGAAAAATATCCAAGGGTGTTTTATGTGCCCTGCACGTGTCATTCTTTAAACCTAGTTGTGAATGATGCATCATCTTCTTCTACAGAAACAACAACTTTTTTTTCTATTGTACAAGAACTTTACACTTTTTTTTCTGTTTGTTTTTTCAAAGCGTTGGGAAGTGCTAAAAAAATATGTTTCACAATTAACTCTAAAACCATTGAGCGCTACTAGGTGGTCAAGCAGAATAGATGCGTTAAAACCTTTACGATTTCAACTTTGCGAAATCTATGATGCATTATTCCAAATAATAGAAGATGTCAACAGAGATGCAGAAACTAAAGTTAAAGCCAAGAGGGTTAGCAAAACTTATTAAAAATTACAAGTTTATATGCAGTGTAATTCTTTGGCATGATATTTTATTTGAAATAAATTCAGTCTCGAAGCTATTACAATCTGTAACTATGAATTTGTCAGATTGTGTAAGGATGTTATCAGAAACCATACAACAAGTGAAAAGTTATAGACAATTTGGATATGATAGATGAAAATTGCTGCTAATGAGATTGCAGAGAATCTTGAATGCAGTAAAGAATTTCCTGCCGAAACTGAAGTTAGAGCCAGAAGGAAAAAGCATCAATTTTACTATGAAGAAGCTGTCGACGAACCCTTCACAGAAGAAAGTAAATTTAAAATACTTTTTCAATTATATTCTGGATATTACCCTTAATTCTCTGAATGAACGATTCATGCTTCTGGAAACCCATAACAAAAATTTTCAGTTTTTATATGACATTTTAAAACTCAACTATTTAGATGACAAAATGCTAGAAAATCATTGTACCAGTCTCCAGTCAATACTTTCGGTGGAAAATGAATCAGATATAAATGCAAATGATCTTCAAGAAGAATTACGTGATATATCCCGAATGCTACCATATTCTATGAAACCTTTGGATGTTTTNATCGGTGCCTAATCCTCGTTAATCGATTCAGAACGATTTTTAATTTTTTTTTTTTTTTGATAAAATAAATAATATTTGTGTATGGAACTAAAGAGCCGCAGCTTCACATCCAAAGAGCCGCATGTGGCTCGCGAGCCACAGGTTGCCGACCCCTGCCCTACATTGATTAAATCTTCAAAGTGAGAGACAAATAATGGCAGGACTTCCAGTTTTCTAGATTGCTGTTAAATTTGTATGGTTAGCAAAAAATAGATCGTGTCATAAATGAAATTCTGACTCTGATTGGCTAGGTCAAACATTTTTCAATGCTTATTCCTTTATATAAATAGATATTATATATATATGTATGTGGGTGTCTAAAGATGGCTGGGTTGGGCTGGGCGTTAAGAAGCATAAGCAGAACACAGTTTAAGAAAGAATATGAAGAACTTCTTATGTTATATAATGATGTATATTTTAATACGATACACAAAAAGAACATTACAAACAACAAACACTACACAAATTATCTTAATACTAATTATTGAACAAATATTATCATCTTTAAGCTGACACGTTGTTTGCACTACATCATGATTCTAACGGTTTGTCTTTTTTTCCCACCTGCGCACGACATCGGACTCGACCAAATCATGACAACATGGGGAATGGGCACCACATGTATTATATTGAGATACTATAAGAAATATTCTTATTTCCTGTTTTGTTATAAACTGTCAAATATTTTATACTAGCAGATATACCTGGCATTGCCTGGACAAAAACTAATCAAGACAAACATTAAAATTAACACCAAATTAAAAGTTTGGTTATTTCAAATCAACAGTGTTATTGCAGCAAATTCAAAAGACTCTTTGAAATCAAAAAAGAAAAACTTGGCTATTTTATTTTACACAGTTTTAAAAAATTTAGGGTATAAAATGTTTAACATTTTTTTTATTTTATGCCATTTCAGTCAAAGTTATATTCAAATTCCATTTACTGTAAAGTTTGTTTTAATATAAAACTAGCAAGATTTTTATGTTATTTCAATCACATAGAATGTGGTAATTTGATAGTATTAAATTTTACTTATAGATTTTATATACTAATTTAACTTTAACAGTATTCTCAAATTTTATTACGTTCAAAAAGTTAATAAAAAGCTGCATTTTAAAGATTTTTTGTCATGGTTTGATTCTTAAACCCATGCAAAGAAAACTGTAATGTCCCTATTTCTAATAGAACATTACAGTTAAAGGGCTAAAAAATTTCCCAAAACATGAGCTTCTAATAAGACACTTATTTAATTTTTACTGTATATTATTTATAATAAAATTGCTTGTGAAGTACAAAATATAGTTTTTAAAAATTTTCTACTACTGATAATTATATCCATAATTCAGTATCATATTTATAATTGATATGATTCAATATTAAATCATGATTCTCATTCATTTTTTTATGGAAAAATTACTATAAATTTACTTATCACTATTGTTGTGGTTTTAAATAATTCTACAATAGATTTAACCAGTGCAAACAATAGTATAAACAATTAAGAAAAAGGTAAGGATTAAAAATATTAATGGCTTACCTATTCCATTCTACTGCCAAATGTAGTGGTGTTATTGGTTCTAATTCCCCCCTCGAAATTCTGTTTCTAAACTTTTCTGGTTGATAATCAATGATCAGTTCGTTAACATTAGCATGATCCATTAACAACTTCAAACAGCTAAATCATATAATTATAAATAAAATTACCATACATTACTTAGATAAAAGAAACTAAAATAAAATAAATAAATATGTTATATGACAGTTAGTATTTTAAAATGTATACGTGCCTTACATGTTCTCCTTGAACAGCTAAATGTAAAGCCGTTATGTTATCAAAAGATCTTAAATTTATATTAGCACCATATGCTAATAGCATTTCTACACATTCAGTAAATCCTTGCTGTGCAGCAATCATGACTGGTGTAGCACCATCTTCGGCTCTCATATCTATCAATTCTACTTCACCTATTTAAAAATTACATAAACTTATAATTATTATATTACTTTAAACTTTTTATTTAATATTTTAAATTACATTATAAAAATTCATAATCAAAACTTATATGAATATATTACAACTTTATGTTGGGGTGTGTACAGATTGGCATAATTGTATACAGTATTAATGCTGTCCAAGTGTCTTTTTAATAAAATGTGCATTTTCTCTAGTTTACAGTCATTTGTAAATAATTGATATCTTTTTCAAACATCAATTTTCTTTGAGAAATTACTATCTGATTAAAAAACTTCCATATCAGAAAACTCTTGTTTGTGATTAGACAATTTCCATGATTTATTGCTTTATGTTACTTAAAATATTCTCAATTGTGGATTAGCTGACAGGGAAGGAATCGTTAATTCTGTGTCGGGATGGAAAAAGGGTTCTCTGTATGTGGGTAGTGGTGGCGGAGACACAGATACAAGGCACCTTTACATGAAAAACCAGTTTATTTAGGATTTTAAGGCTTGCTATGTTAATCAGCCACAATCATCTAAAAGTCCCTTATAATGACAGTCTTTCTCAGAGGTAGGTGCGTCATCCAGTGACAGTTGACAACAGGTGATAAAGTTTACAACCCTGAGACAGTAGCAAGATGACAGTTGGTGGGTGGAAATCCTAAGTCTGTTGTTCACAGAACAGAGAGTGTATAGAAGTCAGAACTGAAATGATAGCAATTTTGCTTTGAATCTTTAGCAACACAAGGTTTTGTCAGATGACACAATTTGGAAAAACTGCATATTCCTTGGCAGGTGTGCATACTCCTGTGCTATGCAGTGTTATCACCCCATAGTGCTCATACTGTCTACATTCATGCTGTACTGTCTGTGCTGAGTTCAGTGTGGTGTTATCCCAGTATCCTTGAAACTCAAGGATAATATTAACCTTCATCTCTCAGCTGCCTATTCCAATTGGTCACTTCCCCCATCCTCGCTCTCCAAGTGGTTTCTCACTTTTTACCAAGCGTAATGAGATTTTCCAATTTGGATCGTGAGAGAGCTCAAACTCGAAGTAAAGTTCAATCTCCCAACCAGAGGTGGTCTGTCTTAAAACTACATTCTTTCTATAATTTACAACTTTGCGTCATGTCTGTCAAATAAACAAAGATCATGTCCAGTTGCTAACATTTTCTTTTTTCTTTCCAATTTCTAATAAATTTCACAAATTTGGTGACAGTTCAGATCTGTCCTGGACCTCACAAAATGTTTGTTAGACAAAGTAAGAAAACTACCACAATTTTTGATTATAATACATTTTTAGTATTTTACAAAAAATTAATTGTATTAATTAGAAATGTTTAAAAATATAACTATCTAATGATCAAATGATAAAGATGAATTAAATATTGGACTAGAACTTGACTAATTTTAGATGATAAAGGCTAAATAGTTAATCTGACCTTATTGTTTGATCATTAAAATATTTCAGACTTAGTTATGTATATAAGTGTCTTGCCTTAAAAATAGAGCTACAAACTTATTTTAATTAAAAGAAGTTATTTTAAGTGCTAAAATTATTAAAATATACAATTTGTTAATTTACAGGGTCTAACAAAACTGAGCACCAATATTTTAGGGATAAATTCTAGTCAAAAATAAGCTTAAAAACCTCTATAAATGTTTTTCAAATTTCACTTTATTTTCAAGATCTGGCTTGCCAAAAAATCAATTATACATCCACATCCATATTGGACAGTTTGAGCACTTCTTGTAAATTAGTCTGTTTAATTTCGTAAAATCAAAATGCTATGAATTTATACTAAAAACTCTTGCTTTTCAACTATTTTTTTTAATGTAAAGTGAATGGGCATTGCAAATTTTTAAAGTGAATTAGAATTTGTTTACATTTATTATAGTAAAGCCTACTTGGACAATATTTACAGTACTTACCTGAGTCCATTGACAGATGCATAAAAAATATACAAAATTACTTTAAAAAGTTGACAACTCTAATATTAGTATTGTGGCAAGGAATTTAAAAAGTACCCCCCTTTTTTGGGCATGCTAGATCTTGAAAACAAGGTGGATTTTAAAAAACTTTATAGAGGATTTTAATCTTATTTCTGATTCTAGAATCTATCCTTAAAGTATTGGCACAGAGTGTTGTTACACATAGTATATGTGATAATTTTACAAATAACTTTAGATAAAGCATTTGAAAATCAATCACGGATATTATTATTGATTGTAAATTAACTTGAAAAAACTTAGTGATTAAAATAATCAAACACCTTAGTACTTCCAGCAACGAAGTATTTAATAAAATAAAAACATTTTCAACTATATTTTTGCAATTGAGAAACAACTGGTTAAATTTATCCTACCAACGATTCAAGATTACCAATATGCTATTAATAACTCTGTTCAACTTGTGGACAAGCTCAGAAACATTAACCTCGAAGATAATGAATTTATGACCGTGATGGATTTTAAATCCTTATTTCCATCTATAAAATTACCGCCTTGCGCTTTTGCGAGCTGAGAGACTTCCTTTTTTCTAACATTAATAATGCAACGAAGTATCACCAACACATTTTAGAGCTTGCACACCTAATTTGTTATACTTTGTTTTTTGTATTTGAAGGGAACACATATTTACAAGAAAGAGGGGTTCCAATGGGGAGCCCGATATCCCCGTTATTATGTGAACTAGTATTACGATGATTAGAAAGTAATGTACTGCCCATCTTTATAAATGACATACTTGTATATGCGAGATATGTTGATGATGTTTTCATCATTTGGAGGAATAGTAATAGCACTCAATATTTCCTTAACAAAATTAATAATAACCCATATGGGGTGACTTTATCAATGGAACAGAAAAGTGACATTAACGTAAATTTTCTGGATCTGTCCATAACTTGTAAATATGGGGAAATTTGGACAGATATTTATCGAAAGCCTAGCTATCTATCTATTATTATACCGAAGAATTCCTCTGATCCTCGGAATTTTAAGAATGCAGCCTTTCAATCATGGATAAAGCGGGCCTATACCCACTATACGAGTATGTTCGACACACATAGAGAATTAAATTACATATGTACAATAGCTGTACAACAGGGATATCATATAAGTGAAATTGATGCTCTTATTGCTAAATTTTGTAATCAAACAAATAAGCAACCTACAACTAAGAACCAAGGACAAAGAGTAGTTCTCAACTATATACCTTTCCTGCAATCTATGATTAAAAAAATTATCTCACAAGAATAATTTAAGAGTTATCTATCGTCATAATCCTACGATTTATAGAATTTTACAAAATGATAAGAAGAAAGGAAACCATAACAATAGTACAGGAGTTCATTCTATTCCTTTAAGTGACCGCCATTTTAATTCAGATCTCGTTTACGTTGGTGCCACTACGAGACCTTTAAAACAGAAGCTTAAAGAACATAAGTATTCTATTACTAAAAATGTAGACAGCACTGTCCTTGCAGCCTTTGCAAAACATCAAGATATTAATGTACATTGGGACAAAGCATCCATAATTAGGTCAGCCACCAACAAACAAGTACTTAAACATATTAAAAAACTTGAAATTTACAAAGCCCATATTAACAAAGGATGCATCAACCATAGAGACACAGAAAGTCTTTCTTGCGCATGGATATCTTTTTACCACGATGATTAATTTTCTTAATACTTTATTTAATTTAATTCTTTACCATGATTAATTTTCTTAATATTTTATTGTAATTTAATTTTGTTTTTATGTTTTATTTTATTTTTATTTTGTTGTAATTAATTTTCAATTNTATCACTATTGTTGTGGTTTTAAATAATTCTACAATAGATTTAACCAGTGCAAACAATAGTATAAACAATTAAGAAAAAGGTAAGGATTAAAAATATTAATGGCTTAACTAACTGAAACTTGTAAAGAACTGATACTGACAAATGCTCTTCAATATAAGTTAAAAAAGTAAAAATTAATAATATTTAAGTACAAAAATTTATGACATGTTATGTATTATGGTGAAAATTATATACATTTATAAAGTTAAGAATACATGATTTACTTCATATGTAAAAAAATTCTCTAAATATTTTGAATTAACATAATTGATTTATATTATTTAAAAACAGATATGGTTTCTGGTATTTCATCTTATTTATATACAGAATGTTTTGCAAAGAAGTGGCAATATTTTTACAGTGTGTTCTAGCTACATGATACAAAAATGTCATATAAATACAGTAGAGCCTCGATTATCTGACTCAATTGGGGACTGGGGTTGGTTGGATAATTGAAAAGTCGGATAACTGAAAAGTAAGAAAAAATCCATTATTAGTGTAGTATATTATTATATCCCATGTAATTAGTATATTAGTATATCACTATTAACCTACTTCGCGTTGAATTTTCATCGATGTTAAGCCTAACAAAAATTTTTTTAAATAATAATCGTTGCTATTGTATAGTTAAAAATTAGAAAATTAAGCCTCGTTTAAATACTGGCTCCCTTTCATGGTCGAATGATTGTCACCAGCTAAAACACGTAAAAATAATATTAAAGTAGCCAAGACATAGCCAAATATTGTAGCGCTACATCACTAGCGGACATTTGAAATTTGCTGACTAGGACGGTTGGTTAACCGAGATGTCTGTTAATCGGAGGTCGGATAATCAAGGCTCTACTGTATAGCCCTTCAATTGTATTGTTTCAATGCTAGAGTGGTTTAAAGTTCAAACTAGCTATCCCTTAAGATGCTGCTCTTTAGCACTGCAGAAAAGCCTTAATCTCTTGATTTACTAAGCCTAAATTTTGGCTTTTTTTTTCTTTTTTAGTAAGTTAGTCTAAATTATGGCTCTCCCCATAATTTAGGCTAAATTAAGAAAATGTTAAAAAGTTATTAAAACCATACAATATTGTTCTTGCTCCTGTATTTAATAATAATAATAAAAATATGTTAAAAGCTAACGAAATTATTAACAAAAAAAAAAAAAAAAAAAACAGATATGATGATACAAAATAACATTATATACAGAATTTCTTGCAGTTGCTAACAAAATATCAGTATATAGGTGAAACTGGAAGAACATTAAAAATTAGAATAAGAGAACATTTACGTGCAATTAAATATAATTACACCAATTCAGTGGTTGCCCTACATCAGGGGTCGGCAACCTTTTGAGTCGGAAGAGCCAAAATTACAATTTACAAAATTTCAAAGGTTTTAAAGAGCCACAAAATTTTTTCTTGCCAACAATAAATAGTACTCACATAAATAAAGTTTTCTGATTAAAAAAAACTAATCTATTTATTCAGAATTGTCTTGCGTCGAAAGCGAATTAAACATCATAGAAACATCGGACGACGGCGTCGTTCNAATTAAAAGTTTGGTTATTTCAAATCAACAGTGTTATTGCAGCAAATTCAAAAGACTCTTTGAAATCAAAAAAGAAAAACTTGGCTATTTTATTTTACACAGTTTTAAAAAATTTAGGGTATAAAATGTTTAACATTTTTTTTATTTTATGCCATTTCAGTCAAAGTTATATTCAAATTCCATTTACTGTAAAGTTTGTTTTAATATAAAACTAGCAAGATTTTTATGTTATTTCAATCACATAGAATGTGGTAATTTGATAGTATTAAATTTTACTTATAGATTTTATATACTAATTTAACTTTAACAGTATTCTCAAATTTTATTACGTTCAAAAAGTTAATAAAAAGCTGCATTTTAAAGATTTTTTGTCATGGTTTGATTCTTAAACCCATGCAAAGAAAACTGTAATGTCCCTATTTCTAATAGAACATTACAGTTAAAGGGCTAAAAAATTTCCCAAAACATGAGCTTCTAATAAGACACTTATTTAATTTTTACTGTATATTATTTATAATAAAATTGCTTGTGAAGTACAAAATATAGTTTTTAAAAATTTTCTACTACTGATAATTATATCCATAATTCAGTATCATATTTATAATTGATATGATTCAATATTAAATCATGATTCTCATTCATTTTTTTATGGAAAAATTACTATAAATTTACTTATCACTATTGTTGTGGTTTTAAATAATTCTACAATAGATTTAACCAGTGCAAACAATAGTATAAACAATTAAGAAAAAGGTAAGGATTAAAAATATTAATGGCTTACCTATTCCATTCTACTGCCAAATGTAGTGGTGTTATTGGTTCTAATTCCCCCCTCGAAATTCTGTTTCTAAACTTTTCTGGTTGATAATCAATGATCAGTTCGTTAACATTAGCATGATCCATTAACAACTTCAAACAGCTAAATCATATAATTATAAATAAAATTACCATACATTACTTAGATAAAAGAAACTAAAATAAAATAAATAAATATGTTATATGACAGTTAGTATTTTAAAATGTATACGTGCCTTACATGTTCTCCTTGAACAGCTAAATGTAAAGCCGTTATGTTATCAAAAGATCTTAAATTTATATTAGCACCATATGCTAATAGCATTTCTACACATTCAGTAAATCCTTGCTGTGCAGCAATCATGACTGGTGTAGCACCATCTTCGGCTCTCATATCTATCAATTCTACTTCACCTATTTAAAAATTACATAAACTTATAATTATTATATTACTTTAAACTTTTTATTTAATATTTTAAATTACATTATAAAAATTCATAATCAAAACTTATATGAATATATTACAACTTTATGTTGGGGTGTGTACAGATTGGCATAATTGTATACAGTATTAATGCTGTCCAAGTGTCTTTTTAATAAAATGTGCATTTTCTCTAGTTTACAGTCATTTGTAAATAATTGATATCTTTTTCAAACATCAATTTTCTTTGAGAAATTACTATCTGATTAAAAAACTTCCATATCAGAAAACTCTTGTTTGTGATTAGACAATTTCCATGATTTATTGCTTTATGTTACTTAAAATATTCTCAATTGTGGATTAGCTGACAGGGAAGGAATCGTTAATTCTGTGTCGGGATGGAAAAAGGGTTCTCTGTATGTGGGTAGTGGTGGCGGAGACACAGATACAAGGCACCTTTACATGAAAAACCAGTTTATTTAGGATTTTAAGGCTTGCTATGTTAATCAGCCACAATCATCTAAAAGTCCCTTATAATGACAGTCTTTCTCAGAGGTAGGTGCGTCATCCAGTGACAGTTGACAACAGGTGATAAAGTTTACAACCCTGAGACAGTAGCAAGATGACAGTTGGTGGGTGGAAATCCTAAGTCTGTTGTTCACAGAACAGAGAGTGTATAGAAGTCAGAACTGAAATGATAGCAATTTTGCTTTGAATCTTTAGCAACACAAGGTTTTGTCAGATGACACAATTTGGAAAAACTGCATATTCCTTGGCAGGTGTGCATACTCCTGTGCTATGCAGTGTTATCACCCCATAGTGCTCATACTGTCTACATTCATGCTGTACTGTCTGTGCTGAGTTCAGTGTGGTGTTATCCCAGTATCCTTGAAACTCAAGGATAATATTAACCTTCATCTCTCAGCTGCCTATTCCAATTGGTCACTTCCCCCATCCTCGCTCTCCAAGTGGTTTCTCACTTTTTACCAAGCGTAATGAGATTTTCCAATTTGGATCGTGAGAGAGCTCAAACTCGAAGTAAAGTTCAATCTCCCAACCAGAGGTGGTCTGTCTTAAAACTACATTCTTTCTATAATTTACAACTTTGCGTCATGTCTGTCAAATAAACAAAGATCATGTCCAGTTGCTAACATTTTCTTTTTTCTTTCCAATTTCTAATAAATTTCACAAATTTGGTGACAGTTCAGATCTGTCCTGGACCTCACAAAATATTTGTTAGACAAAGTAAGAAAACTACCACAATTTTTGATTATAATACATTTTTAGTATTTTACAAAAAATTAATTGTATTAATTAGAAATGTTTAAAAATATAACTATCTAATGATCAAATGATAAAGATGAATTAAATATTGGACTAGAACTTGACTAATTTTAGATGATAAAGGCTAAATAGTTAATCTGACCTTATTGTTTGATCATTAAAATATTTCAGACTTAGTTATGTATATAAGTGTCTTGCCTTAAAAATAGAGCTACAAACTTATTTTAATTAAAAGAAGTTATTTTAAGTGCTAAAATTATTAAAATATACAATTTGTTAATTTACAGGGTCTAACAAAACTGACCACCAATATTTTAGGGATAAATTCTAGTCAAAAATAAGCTTAAAAACCTCTATAAATGTTTTTCAAATTTCACTTTATTTTCAAGATCTGGCTTGCCAAAAAATCAATTATACATCCACATCCATATTGGACAGTTTGAGCACTTCTTGTAAATTAGTCTGTTTAATTTCGTAAAATCAAAATGCTATGAATTTATACTAAAAACTCTTGCTTTTCAACTATTTTTTTTAATGTAAAGTGAATGGGCATTGCAAATTTTTAAAGTGAATTAGAATTTGTTTACATTTATTATAGTAATGCCTACTTGGACAATATTTACAGTACTTACCTGAGTCCATTGATAGATGCATAAAAAATATACAAAATTACTTTAAAAAGTTGACAACTCTAATATTAGTATTGTGGCAAGGAATTTAAAAAGTACCCCCCTTTTTTGGGCATGCTAGATCTTGAAAACAAGGTGGATTTTAAAAAACTTTATAGAGGATTTTAATCTTATTTCTGATTCTAGAATCTATCCTTAAAGTATTGGCACAGAGTGTTGTTACACATAGTATATGTGATAATTTTACAAATAACTTTAGATAAAGCATTTGAAAATCAATCACGGATATTATTATTGATTGTAAATTAACTTGAAAAAACTTAGTGATTAAAATAATCAAACACCTTAGTACTTCCAGCAACGAAGTATTTAATAAAATAAAAACATTTTCAACTATATTTTTGCAATTGAGAAACAACTGGTTAAATTTATCCTACCAACGATTCAAGATTACCAATATGCTATTAATAACTCTGTTCAACTTGTGGACAAGCTCAGAAACATTAACCTCGAAGATAATGAATTTATGACCGTGATGGATTTTAAATCCTTATTTCCATCTATAAAATTACCGCCTTGCGCTTTTGCGAGTTGAGAGACTTCCTTTTTTCTAACATTAATAATGCAACGAAGTATCACCAACACATTTTAGAGCTTGCACACCTAATTTGTTATACTTTGTTTTTTGTATTTGAAGGGAACACATATTTACAAGAAAGAGGGGTTCCAATGGGGAGCCCGATATCCCCGTTATTATGTGAACTAGTATTACGATGATTAGAAAGTAATGTACTGCCCATCTTTATAAATGACATACTTGTATATGTGAGATATGTTGATGATGTTTTCATCATTTGGAGGAATAGTAATAGCACTCAATATTTCCTTAACAAAATTAATAATAACCCATATGGGGTGACTTTATCAATGGAACAGAAAAGTGACATTAACGTAAATTTTCTGGATCTGTCCATAACTTGTAAATATGGGGAAATTTGGACAGATATTTATCGAAAGCCTAGCTATCTATCTATTATTATACCGAAGAATTCCTCTGATCCTCGGAATTTTAAGAATGCAGCCTTTCAATCATGGATAAAGCGGGCCTATACCCACTATACGAGTATGTTCGACACACATAGAGAATTAAATTACATATGTACAATAGCTGTACAACAGGGATATCATATAAGTGAAATTGATGCTCTTATTGCTAAATTTTGTAATCAAACAAATAAGCAACCTACAACTAAGAACCAAGGACAAAGAGTAGTTCTCAACTATATACCTTTCCTGCAATCTATGATTAAAAAAATTATCTCACAAGAATAATTTAAGAGTTATCTATCGTCATAATCCTACGATTTATAGAATTTTACAAAATGATAAGAAGAAAGGAAACCATAACAATAGTACAGGAGTTCATTCTATTCCTTTAAGTGACCGCCATTTTAATTCAGATCTCGTTTACGTTGGTGCCACTACGAGACCTTTAAAACAGAAGCTTAAAGAACATAAGTATTCTATTACTAAAAATGTAGACAGCACTGTCCTTGCAGCCTTTGCAAAACATCAAGATATTAATGTACATTGGGACAAAGCATCCATAATTAGGTCAGCCACCAACAAACAAGTACTTAAACATATTAAAAAACTTGAAATTTACAAAGCCCATATTAACAAAGGATGCATCAACCATAGAGACACAGAAAGTCTTTCTTGCGCATGGATATCTTTTTACCACGATGATTAATTTTCTTAATACTTTATTTAATTTAATTCTTTACCATGATTAATTTTCTTAATATTTTATTGTAATTTAATTTTGTTTTTATGTTTTATTTTATTTTTATTTTGTTGTAATTAATTTTCAATTTTTAAACCATTGTATTGCTTGCATTCTATTTTACATTCATTTTTGTTTTAAAGTGGCTTAACTGAAGAAGACTATTATAGTCAAAAACGTTTTTATTTTATTAAATACTTCGTTGCTGGAAATACTAAGGTGTTTGATTATTTTAAATACTTAGTGATTAAATATTACACACTAATATAAGCAAAGTTAATTTAAATGAAATCAAAATATGTTAATATATTTAATATGAAATTAATATGTTATATGTTAATATGAAATTAATATGTTAATATATTTAACAAAATTTGCAGCCTGGCACTGTGACAATGTCACAATAAATAATTGCTCATATCTTTTTAAATTTTTATGCATATAATTGGTGATGTAAAGAATTACCTCTTTCTTTGGCAGCATCTAGCAGAATTTTTAAGCATTCTATCTTCCCATGTTGTGCAGCTGTAAATATTGGTGTCATTTCACATTCATCTCGAATACTAATTTTTGCACCTGCCGTCAACAGAGAAATGACAATGTCGGCTCTACCAAGCATGGCTGCTTCATGCAAGGAACCCCAACCGCTACAGTCGACTTTATTTGGATCAGCTTTACCATTATTTAAAAGTTCTAATACTACTGGAGCAAATCCAGAACGAGTAGCTATAAAATAATTTTACAGAATTACAAAAAATATGAGAATTTAATTAATACACTAAATAAAAGATACCTGCTAACAGAGGTGTTTCTTCTTCATTATCTGCTATATTAGGATCAGCTTTATATTTCAATAACAATTTTACGGCTTCTAAAGGTTTTTTGTTGGTTCTACATCTTCGTTTACAAGCCAGCAATAATGCTGTTTCTCCTTCATGAGTTTGCCAATTAACATCTGTATCTTCTGTAAATTGAAGAAAGAATTTCTGTAGTTTAATTTTGTTTTAAATGTTTTAAATATAACTTTATATACATATACATATTTTAAAATAAAATATCATGTAAATAACAGAATAAACATGATTTCACAAAAAAGATATATTTAGAAACATTTGAAAGTCAAAAGAAGCACCATATTTGTTGAGATTACACTCTATAAAGCTGCTGAATATAGAAAAAAGAAAGAAATGCAGGAAGAAAAAAAATAAAGTTATTTAAAAAATATAAAATTAGAAAATAAAAATATATTTTTATTGTAATGAAGGATCCACTGTCCACACATTGGTATACCACAAACCTTGTGCAGCCTCTGCATACACATGTATGCAGAGGCTGCACACAGGAATGTATGCAGAGGCTGCACACACAGGGATACCATTCCCATACAAGACAGCAGCATTTAATATTTTAATTAGGAGGGAATTTTCCCATTCGTCCATCTCACAAGCTCTAGCCACTGAATTAATGTACATTAATTCATAGCAACCTAATCTGACCCATTGTTTGATTGAGCGATATCACCGATCACGACACGCATCCACCGCTCAAGCAATAGCCGATGACAAACCAGATGGTGAAACACATGTCCCAGTCACACTTAACTTGTACATTTGATCGTTGTACACAGAAATCGCCAACAAATACCAAATGCGGATCACATACAGATGTCTGACAATCTTCAACATCCTCTACAACAGGAAAGACTCTCCTGACCATAACAGACTTCCTGATAATAACAGACATAACAGAATCAACATAAATAAGGTCCCAGTCACATCTGTTGTCCCTATCCCTCCTAGGGACAACAGAAGGTAGCTACCAAAGTGAAGGACGGTCAAGCACTTCCTACCACTGTAGACACTTTAGTTCAAATTTCTGGCTATAGGTTCTTATATTAAAACGTTCAAAATTTCATCCTTTACAATCCCCCAAATTTTTAAAACGTCATTCTGATACACCCTGTATACAATGTCTGATCAAAAAGTATCTGACCTGAGGCCAGTAAAAAACACCTATGTATCTATTAGGCTCAAACACTAGTTCCCTTCAAAATAGGCTTCCTTCTGAGTTTGTACACTTCTATCAGCAATGCTTCCACTGTTGGAAGCATGTTTCAAAGTCATTTATCGGGATCACTATCAGATGCTTTGTCATGTTAATCTTGATCTCCTCCATGTCTTGAAATCTCTCCTTTGAGTGGTATCTTCAGTTTGGGAAAGAGCCAAAAGTCAGCCAAAGCCATGTCTGGGGAATAAGGAGGCTGTTGAACTTGTGCAATACTTTGTTTTTCAAGGAATGTCTGGTTGAGATGTGATACATGGACCGGACCATTGTTGTGATGAATGAACCAGTCACCAGACTGCCACAGCTGTGGTCTCTTGCACCTAACAGCATCTCATAGGTGACATAAAACAGTCAGGAAGTATTCATTTGTCACAGTTTGTTCATGACAGGCATACTCATGCTGAACTATATCCTGGTGGTTGAAAAAAACAGTCAATATATTGCAGGGTAGGATGGACTCTCCAAATTCACATAAATGCAGTAGGGTCCAAGGTCAAATGACAACATAGTCTCCTCCCCAGTTTGTAAATACTTGCAAAGAAAAGAAAATAAGGTTGGATACTTTTCAATCAGACCTTGTACATACAATACATCTTATGTGTATATTTGTATATAAACAAGTACAGATTTAGAATAGAAACATAAGGTCACGTATACAATCATTTTTCAGAGAATATATATCAATTGTTTAATATACTTATAAATGCTTTTAAATAACCTAACTTTATGCATTTTTTTTAATTATTTGCATTATGATATCCCTCCTATCATTTCAGTTATTTTAGTTAGTTTGTTAATTTTGTGTACTTTTTAGTGGCTTTAAAGTAACTCTCTTAAGTGTTAAACAATTCCCATTAAAGTTTGACAAACAAGCATCCCATGCCTGGAGCAGGATTTGAGCATGCAATCTGGTGAACTAGAAACAATACCTTAACACATATGTCTGCCAAATTGGCAGATGTGTGACTATCATTATTTCATATTTTAATCTATGTCTGATTATGAATATTCTAAATAGTGGAATTAATAAAACAGAAAATCACAAAAAAGTTTAATCAAGAAATTATCATCAATTTCACACATTAAAATATAAATTAAGAATACTATTTCTCAATTTAGACCATTTCATATAATTCCTAATAAAGATTTAAGAAAAGTTATAATAATAATAATAATAAAGATTTATTTGTGCCAAGCATATCAATGAATAATAAACAATAATACTTGATAAAATAATAGAAAAATAAATACGAAAATCTTAGTATATTTGAAAATTTGCATAATGACACTAAAGACAATACTAATTTTGAGGTTGATACTAATTTTACTTACTATTAAGTTCATTCAGTTCAAATTTTAAGAATCATTTATATAAAATATTAAAAACTACTTTACTTTAAGATATTTTCATTTCTCATAAAAATATCTTAAAGTAAAGCAGTTTTTAATATTTTCTTTAGTATCATTATGCAAAGTTTACAAAATGTTTAAGATATTTTCATAAAAAATGAAAATAAAGCAGCTTTCAATATCATTTACAATTGCTATATACTTAATATACATGCAAATATGTTTCTATATAGTTGCTGAATTATTTAAATAATTCATTTATTTCTACATTCAGTAATTAATATAATTACTAATTTATATAAATACTATGCTTTAATAATTCTTCTAAACATCGCAAATCTTTAGGTTCAGCAGCTGCTTCATGTAATGGTCGCCATCCTCTATTATCTGGTGCATCAACTGGATTTCCTGCTTCAACTAATTTACGAAATTCAGTTATATTTCCAATTCTTGCAGCCAAACCTATATATGAACATGTATCATCCCATGCTTCAGTGAAATCCATTTTCCTTGCTGTAAATAAAGGATATAAGAAATATGTAAATTTTTACTTTTAAATGTGAATTTTCATTAATATATATTAAATTAAAACATTTTAAATTAGACATTTAAAATAAATTAACCAAATGAACATTCAGAATGATTATTCTAAATACCTATATTTTCTTTTCAATATATAAATAGAAAAATTGTAACAGAAATAGACTGTAGCATGAAGATTCTGAATGAAATATGTTGAAAAAATAAAAATTTTTAGATAATTACAAATTAGCAATGATTGTTATGAAGCAGCCTTCCAATTTTTTTCTTAATCATTACTCAAATTCATTCTTTATTAACATAAGTGTTAAGCTATTTTAGAGTTACATATATATGTAACTGTATACAAAGCATATATTATATTATATACATATTACTATATAGTATATATACAAAGCCTGATGATTATATTAAAACCAAATGATTATTGGATTAAATCTGGCTAAATTACCACTACTAATAATTTTTAAATCCTGAGTAATTTTCTTCCAGAATTTCTGTTTATTTAATGAATATTAATTTAATTATAATTATTAAATTTAATAAGAGATGACACCTAACGCCTACCTCTAGTGCCAAATTACTTGGGATTTAACAATTATTACTAGTGATAATGTAACCTAATTTCACCCAGTAATAATTTGGCTTTGCTATATTATAGTGTTATCACTGTTGAAATAAATACAATGAAATATTGTATATTTTAAAAGTACAGTATAGCCTATTTTGAGTACTACTTTTGATATTTACATTATCTTCATCAAACTATTCAAACAAAAATGAATAAGAAGTAATAATGTTAAATAAATACATTGCAAAATCAACACTAAACTGCAAAAATAAAGTTTATTAATATTCTCCTTTTCAAACACTGATGGCTTCTTCAGTAAACCGAATACAATTTGAATTATAAATGTCTTTGCATTTTGAAATAAATTTGAAATTTTTTTTAAATATAGAAAAATATATATAAACTTTTTAAGTCCATAATTCTTTTACATTATATAATTCTTTTATATATTATGATAACAATATTATATAGTGTCCCTCTGCGGTGGGTAGGAAATGGGAGGAGCTTCCAAGAATGAAGTAATGACATCACAGGCAGACTGCTGCTTTGATATCAGGCCAGGAACACAGGAGTTAACTCCTCAGATGGTTCTGTGAATTGTACTGGATCTGCATTTACTTGTTAGTGGATACATTACAATGGGTACATGGTCATTACAAATTATGTGCATCCTGAAATTTTGTATTGATCTTGGAAAAATATAAAATATTTCAAATAAATAAATTAATACAGAAATTTAAATTTTGCAGTAATGGCATGAGAAACAATGTTCTAATCTTTTTACCTCAACAGCAGTGCAAGTTGGGAGAGAAAGCTTTTGCTATTTAAGCAATCATTTTATATTCAATTTTATTTATTAGAACATTTTAGCAAATAAATATTTTGTAATAAAATAAAATTAATATGAATATATATGCAAATTTTAAAAAATATGTTGTGGTGGAAGTGCCGCTTCCCTTGTATTTTCTAAAATATAAAAATAATCGCACAATATGTATTTATATTTGTACGTATCTTATTACAAATTTATATACTACATGTGAAAAGAAAAACGATAAGATTGCTATTGTATATTCAAATATAAACTCGTATGTGGATATTCCCAATGGAAATGCTGTATTGTCGAATATGGGACAGCTTCCACGACGAAAATATTTGTATGGTGTAAAACAGCCAGACTATAGGCATTCGCACTTGTGCTTTACAGAGCACCAACCTCACAGTGGAAGCTACACTACAATGCATCCAATGATTCTATCCAGGATTGGTTCTGGGCTGTTACCTGCCTTCCTGCTATATATCTGGCTCCCCTCACCCATTATGTGAACCGCAAGTAGATTTATAACTTAATCAGTGGCATGCTGTCTTTGGAAGCAGTGGAAGTGCCGCTTCCCTTGTATTTTCTAAAATATAAATACATATTGTGCGATTATTTTCATATTTTAATGTACTTTAAATTAATTAAAATTAATATTTTATTATAACCACATTATGTATCTTATTACAATTTCTATACTACATGTGAAAAAAATGATAAGATTGCTATTTTATATTCAAATATCAATGGCAAAATGAATGAATAAATCATGAGTAGATTTATAACTTAACCCACTGATAGGAGTATACTGGTATGTTTTTATGATAGTTCTGTATAGTTGACAGGAGTTTAAAAAAATCCAGTAAAATGTTTGATATATTTATTCTGCTTTTATTCTGCTCTCCCATCTTGTATTACTTACAGATTTCAATGTTAAACTTGTGATATTATGATTTAGTATGTCTCATCTGCATTTTGGTCAGTTAACTTATTAATAGTAATTTTTCCAGTACTATTTGCCTGTTGATTTTTGCAGGATCATCTTTAACAGCTAGCTTATAATTGAAGAAATACTAGTAGTATAAATTTAAACAAACAATTATTTATTATGATATCATCAAAATGCCAGGCTGCAATTTGAAAAAATGTTGACCTATAAATTCCTACTGTCATCTGCCCATCTTTCCTTAATGTTGAAAATGGAGTTAGATGGAGTACAAGACCAGATATGGAAACCTTAGGATCAGGAGACCCTGATTAATTATATTAGAACTTCTAATGCAAACTAGAAATCACATTATTTCAATTCAAAACTTTTCCCCTGAAAGCAGTTAATAGATGACTGGCATGACTCTATTGTTAAAGGATAAGTATGATGTACAGGGGCAAGTCACTACTACTTTGAGGTGGAGAGAATACAGTAGAGTGTTGATTATCCAAAAGTCAATCATCCGAAAGAATTCCAGTCAGCAAATTTAAATTTTCGCCAGTGCTGTGGCGCTGCAACCTTTGGCTATGTCTTGGGCTACTCAAATATTTTACGTTTTTGATACTAAAATAACTTCTGATGTATAATTTTTTTATTGTTTTTATATTTTTCAATATATTTATTTTGTTTGTACAAAATAAAAAAATAATTTTTAACGTCGTTTCTTCGTTAGGCTTAACATCGACAAAAATTCAACGCAAAGCGACACGCAGCGGATAAAAATTTCAACATGGGATAAATTAATATATTTTTTCGTACATAATCAGTTATCCGAAACATTGATCTTCCGAACAACTCCAGTCCCCAATTGATTCGGATAATCGACACTCTACTGTATATTTTAAATTAAACGAGCAATTATTTATTGTGACATCACCACAATGCCAAGCTGCAATTTTTAATCATATTTTTAATTTATTTAATTTAAAATACATGCTCTCCACCTCAAATTAGTAGTGCCTATGTATATCATACTTTTCCTTTAACAATAGAGTCATGCCAGCTATCTATTAACTGCTTTCAGGGGAAAGTTTTGAATTGAAATAATGTGACTTCTAGTTTGTATTAGAAGTTCTTATATAGTTAATCAGGGCCTCCTGCCCCTACAGTTTCCATATCTTATCTCATCTTTCATATATCTAACTCCATTCTTGAGATTAAGGAAAGACAGATGGATAACAGTGGGAATTGATAAGTCTAGAATTTTTTCAAATTGCAGCCCAATGATAAACATTTAATTTTTAAAGTACTGTTTTAGACTGATAATGATTGTGCACACTGCTGTAGTTGTTTTGTATAAAACATGTGAGGCTCCAAAGCCCTTACTAAAATTTGTTCAAAAATGTTTTTAAATAGAAAAAAGCTATAAAAGGACATAAAATATAGTAAGATCCTGCTTAATGCGGGGGATGCTAGACAACAAAGTGCTAAGCGAAACAGCATTAAATGAGGTCATTTTAACATAGAGTAAATAGGGATAGGGGAACACGCAACTGAAAATAAACAAATTTTATGATTCACAAACACAAATCATGCTACTATTTTTAACACTTGGCGGTTTTCATCTTTATTTAGTTGATATGAGTTACAATTACAAAGTATGTAATTATAACTTGTATCAATTAAAATATTAATATCATAGAAATTAAGAAAACATGGTTTCAGAAGATTGGTAAACAAATTTTACTTTAATTTTAAGTTATTTTTATATTAATCTGTATAATAATACTGTATATGTTATATAACGTTATATAACACATAAACATATGCACACAGAAATGTAAAGTTCATTTTTTGTGATGAAGGTCCTGGTTTTTCTGAAATTCTTGTTCTTTTGCAATAAAGTCGTGAAGTTTCATTTGTCACTTTTTTCTTTTTCCTTAAGCAAATGTTGGCAGCAGAAGATCATATCCAAAACACCTTTGTTTGCTTTTTGCACTCCTTTCAAAATCTGGATCATTTGCTACAATTTGATCAATGATTTTGATTATCTTACCAAACTTTTACTAAGGAAATCTGTAGAGAAATTTTTTGGGTTCTTCATTTTCAGAATGTCTATTTTCCAGTTCCACAGGAATTCCATGTTCTGCCAATTCTTGAAGGTTGTCATTGGTAAGGCTCTCACCAGAAACCTGCTGCAACTCCTTAATATCTTGCTCATCTATATTTCCTAGTCCTGCTATATCGTTGAGTTTGGTCAACCTAACGATACAGCAATAGGCTCTTCTCGTTTAAAATTCTTGGATACCTTCAGCCATAACTTCTTCCACACTTCGTTTGTGCATTTATCAGTTAATTCTTGCCAAGCAAAGTCGATATCTCCTATGGCATACATGACGTTATATTTTTTCCAAAATTGCACCAAACAAACAGATTTAAAGAAAGTACATCTTTTTGCCACCTTTTGCTGATTGGTTTGTGTTCGCAAATAATCGTATTATATACGAATCAATGAAATGCTGCAATAATTTAAATCAGCGTAAAGTTTGAGCTTTTATTAGGCTTCGAGCAGACCGCGTTATATCAAATCAGCATTAAGCAAGTCAGCATGAAGCGGGATATTACTGTATTATTTATTTAAGTTTACATGAGAGAGAAACTGAGATGAACAGGGTAAGCCCTAAGATAAACCATCTCTGGTCGAAATCAAAACTTAGCATTGAATTAAACCTTTTCCTTAGTCTGAATTGGGCTCAAATTAACTTTGGAAACAGGTATGAAACCAACTGGAAAAAATGAATACGGAACTGAGACCAATTGGGATGTACAATCAAAAGGACCAAATAAATAGAAACTCATATCTCAAGGGCATAAGGTTCTTTTCTCAAAGATCTGGTCTTTCTTACTTTTTTGACAGGTTCTTTTCTAAGTGTATCACATTTGATTGTCCTCCACAGTCTCGTGCAACAGTTCCAATATCTCTTCCTTGAGATATACTGGGGAATACTCAACACCAAAAGGTCCATATTTTCTCTCTTGGCAACATCAGGAGTTCCTCCAGACCATCCTACCATCAAGATGATCTGATCGTCCAATGTAACAAACCTTGGCAATCTGAAGTCACATTTTTACAGACATTTTGGTATTTGACGTCTTACTGTGATTCAAATTTTGACATTGGATCTGTATGTTCACCTCATCTGGAGCTCTGGTGAGGCATCCATCTCCCTTTCATCACTATCCTCATCAGTTGGCCACATTAGGGGCTCTTTGTCCAGGACCAATCCTTCCTACAGGGACTGAGTTTAAAATAGTGACTGTTGTGTAAATCGAGAAATTGTAAGAATCCATTCCTTTAATAAAATGATTTCCTGTATAACTGGTATCCTTGTCTCAGTTGCCAAGCCACCCCATCTTCTATATATATAACCCATTCAACGGGTATCCGTCTGTCTGTCCCGTAACCATTTGATAACGGACATTAGAGACGCCCCTATCGTGTGTCATATTTCAAACATTCAAATTAACAATTTTAATTCTTATTTAAATTAACAATATGAATTTTTATTATTCATTTGGCCAATAAATTATTATTTGGTCAATATAACAATATAAATAATTCAGTATATTTGTAATAGGAATTTATTATTTCAGGGGCTTATATCTCTTGAAGGGTTGCGAGTAGAGATATGGTTCCTTTGACTTTATTGTTAGTACAGGGGTCTATGATTTGAGGGTCACCACCTCTTCATTCGGAGGGTAAATCTTACCATTTGGATTTTAACAAAGCTGTAGAGCATATTGATAGGAACAAACAAGTAAAAGGAACCGTGCCTCGTGAAAATTTGTAAAGAACGCCCACTAGGGAGCATCCCAAGCTACTAGTATGTCAATGATCTCTTGGCATCCTGGCAGTCAGTGTGTATTTCTAAGAGTGTGTTGGCTGCACCTTCATGACATGACTTCGAGCTATGAATCACTTCACAGGAATCTTCACAAACATTACCTCTGAATATAGAACAAATTACCTTCAAAGCCCTCCAAGTATGATAGAAAATAAAAAGTCTCAAGATTATTATGATTTTCTAAAAATTCTCTCTAAAAAGTCTCAAGATTATTATGATTTACAAAAAATGTGTATACTTATTAAATAAAAGCAGTATCTACAACTACTGTACCATTCAAAACATTAGATATTTTATTTAAAATAATTTGAAATGTTAATAGAAAATGACATTATGTCAGTCATCAGTTTAGCATTCATATGCCCTGCTTCAGCTGTTGCCTTTTCTTGAACCAATGTGTTCATTTGTTTTAAAGAAACAAAATGTTAGCAGTTTTTCTTAATTTAATTCCCATTTAACTTTCACAATAGATTCTTTCCTTCCCTAAGATATATAAATTTTGGGAAAATCTATAAACATGACAACCTTGATTACAATCTGTCCTGCACACTGTTTTTACCATTGGTTAAAACGAAGTTTTGTTTTCGGTTTGAATTTTATTAAATTACAATAAAAGTTTTTATTTTTATGACATTGAAATAATTCCCCTTAGAAACAAACCTCTAAAAAATACCTCTAAATGGGTGTCTGCAGAGAAAGGTAAATGGGACACTTGCCCTCCCCTGGAATCAAGTAAAAGATTTCAGAAATTATAATCGTAAATGTAACTGAAATATGTAACCTTACATCTTCAAAATGGGATCCTTTGATCTATTTGTGGAGAAAAAAAAACAAAAATTAAATAATTAAATAAAAATTTTTGAGGTAATTATTTGTCTCCAAGCTTTGTCCTCCTGGAAAATTTTCTGTAGATGCCCATTGCCTTTAAATATAACTCACTTCCAAATTTACCTTTAGACAAAAAGAAAAGTTCTAAACCTTGAAGTAAAACCTCTATATCGAGGCTGATAGAATGAAAAGATGGATTAAAAATATGCATTAAATATGTAGTCAAATATTAAATACATATTTTCATGACTTTAATAAGCAGTTATTCATATGCTTTCTGACATTCTAATTCTAACATTAGACAAACAATAACAATTGTAATTACAATAAATGAATTATATTTTGTTACCTTGATTAATTTCGAAACTATAGGTATATGGTTATTATAGAATATAAACAAATTATTTAAATTTCGAAACAAAATATTTTATTTAAACATTCAATGCTAAAATCTGTTTAGATGTTAAATATAAATTTCTGACTATTATAAAATATAGACAAGTTCCAACACTCAAATGAAAATAAATTAAAAGATTTATTCCACATAATTTTGCGAATAAACAAACAGTTTATTTTCAATCCGACTACACGCTTATGAGCAGAGATTACTTTTAAGTCATTTGTGTATGTACACTTTTATATACAAATGACTTCTGCCCATTTATGTAATATAATATGAAAATCAGTAAGTTAGTGTAAAATTCTCCCTTTTCTTCCTTGATTTATTGTTTTAACTTTAATTTTTTTGTTAAATGTGTTATAATTTAGTCAATAATATTTATTATATTTTCAAATTTTGATTTTCAGTGTTAAACTATGTGCTTTAATGAACATCTGTTAAAGGTCAAGACATTTATAATAGAAAATACAGCAAATATGGTTAAAACACACTTGACAGGTTCCATGTATCATCAAAATATCAACAATTAGAGTAAATATTTAATGTTTCTTAATGCTAAATTCGAATTTTTCTTGTAAAAACTCGGCTAACAACACAAACCTCACCTGCGATTGTAAGTTTTGTTTATAAACATCAACCCATTCTTTCGTATAAAAACTAATCGGTTTCAGCTTCTCCCACGCCTTACCCGCATCAACCTGACACATCTCTTTCGAAATTTTATGATAAATCTTACGATTTATAATTTTTAATTAATTGCTTTGTACGAAAGTAATTTTTACGTGAAAATAAAACGTCGTAATTAAAAATAAATTAATAATTGATCGTGTTTTTGGCTAATATTTGGCTACGCGACTTTGGCGTTAATCGGTGACTTCATATGATTTCCCGCCAAACTTAGATGAAAATAAAGGAAACATGTCTGGTTTTGACGATTTGGGTGTTTTTTTCAGTGATAATTTCAGTTCTGACGATGTGGAAGGAAATAGAATTAATTTACAAGCTTTGAAGAATAGATATAAAGAATTTATAAGACAGTTTCATGAAGGAAATTTTGTGTATCGTTATAGGTAATTGTACGATTTGCTAATTCTAAATATGACATGTGCACGGTGTACATAAATGATTACCATAATTACAATTTGTTACGAACTTTTTATTAATATTGGGGCATAGGTTAAACTTTTACTAAGTTGTACGTTACTCCTTAGTAAACTTATCATTATTCTATACCCAATTCTATAACCAATAATTAATGGCATTGTCAGCCGACTGTTATTTTACAATTGGAGTATCAGTTTATTGGGCTCAAGTTTTTCAAGACACTTTGGGTGAGACATTTCCAGATCATTGGATAGGCAGTGATGGGTTGATTTTGTGGTTCCTACCGGTATGTTCTCTGGCCGTAACTTTGCTGAATTTCTTTGGGTTATGTTAGACTTGGATTTGACAAAATATACTACATATTTTACTTTCCTGGCTATTATGTATATATAACAGGGAAAGTATTGGAATAGTGTCAAATTTGACCCCTTGAGTGCTTTGCAAATTGCACGTTTTGAGATCCCTGAATCCAAAAAAGGGAAAAAATTTTGTGGATATGTATGTATGTGTGTGTGTGTTGGATTCTATTTCACTTAATATCTTAATACAGGGTAAAGAGTAAAAAAGAAAACAAAATTTTGCACAGTAGCTTCTGTGTAAGGGACATGATGCTATTAAATTTTGGTGGTTAAAGGTCAAGGGAATAGGGAGCTAGAGGGAGTTTTGTCATATCTCATGAAGGGTCAAACTTTAATGAAGATCTTACTCATTATTGAAATTTACAATTTTTTTAACTCATCTGTACCTTCAAAATTAAGCTTTTGCCATTTTATAATAATATAAAAAGGTTTTTATAACAAAATCTCATAGCATATGGTGCCACACACAATTTATTTATTATGATTAATAAATAAATTTAACATGAATAATATAAAAGTTATTTAAAAAAAAAATCTCATAACAGCCAGGAAAATTACACAACTTGTTGCTGCCTGATTTTTAGTTTTCTATCATGTTAATGAGTCCAGAATTGTATTGGCCCTTTCTTGGCGCTGGTTTGTGCAATACTCTTTAAGTTAATGCACTAACAAGGGGAACCCGGGATGTTGTCATCACTGATTTTGACGAAATTTTGTGGACGTGTAGCATTTACTCGTACTTAAACTCTACCAAAGCTGCAGGACCTATTCAGGTATTCTTAAGAAAATCACGATTAAAGTTTTTCTAGAATTATAATATCCATGCATAGTTAAGGTGAATACGTGAAGCGTATTAATATGTGGGTTTGAATCTTGTGTGAAATTAAATTATAAATGTAAAAAAAGATTATCTTATTGTTGTTAAACTTATATACAGTTGTTTAAGTCATTGAAGATTTATTTTTTTCATTTTGATCACTTCATATTTAGAAAATACATACAGTGGGTGATCAGCTAACGAACATAATTTGTTCCAAGACTTTGTTCATTAACCAATTATCAATTTACCATAGATTTCTATGGGAATTTGATTAATCCATTCTGGAGACCCCAAAAAATAAATAAAAAATTATATACATTCTTACTATATTTATTTATATATAATAATAAAAATAACATATATACAGTCTTGCAATTTTATTAGTCATGCTTTTTTGGTTGTTGGGGTTAAAGAATCTGTCTAATGTTGATTGCTTTTCTTTTTTCTTAAGGATTTTTCAAAAATAATTAATAGCATTGTAATCATAGAGATCCCCAAGCCTATTAACCTCAACCTGGTTTGGATGCCATTCTAAAGCCTTTGTTCTGACATCCTCCCACTTCTTAAAAAGATCTTTAATAGCAGATATTAGCATTGGTCCTCTTTCATCTTCCTCTTTTTCAGAAGAAAACACATCTTGCCAAGTTTCTTGGTGTTCTTCATTTAAAGAGTTCTTGGCATTCTACTGTTGTCAGATCAGTTTCGGATTTCCATTTTTGTTATTCCTTTAGCTGCTTGAGTCTTGATTATACTGTATTTTTCTTAGATAAGACTGAACTGTGGCCTACTGTAGACCTGTTTAAGCCATACTGCCCAGCAACATCAGATATCTTCTGCCCACTCTCTACCTTTGCTATTATACTCTCACCTTTTGAAAATAAAAACTGATGCAAAACTTAATAAGTGCCCATCTGACAGTCTTGCAAATACAGTAGAACCTCGGAAACTTGGCCTAATGTGGACCGAAGGGTGGCCGAGTTTGTGAAAATGCCGGGTTATCGGAAATGGGGTTAAAAAAGGATAAGTATGCGTGTTTCCTCAGAAAATACTGTACTGTACTTGTATTTATTGTTTGCTTGAGAATACAACAGAGAATAAACTGCCCAAATACCCTTAAACAAAGGAAAAGTACGTACTTTATGAAGGCATAGAGCCTTTACTACATGAAAATGAAAATTAATGAATACACTGTGTACAGTAATTTACCTGATAAGACAGACCTCAGAAAAATACTTTATGAGAGCTTTTATACTTTTATAAAACTGTCTATAATGAAAATTAATTAACTAAAGATTTTTTTGCCCTGCCAAGGTGTGGCCGAGTTATCCGGAGTGACGGGTTATCGAGAGCCGAGTTTTCGAGGTTCTACTGTACTGTAAAAAAATTGTTTGTCAGAAAAATAAAAGGCTGGAATTTACAAGGGAGAGTTTCAAAGTTAGGAGGAATATTATCTGATCAGTATATACCAAGTTATGCGTTGATGTCGACGTCTCCCATGCTCTGAAAAGTTTTGAATTGTTGCCTGAAGACAAGGATAGATCATTCAGTATTCATTACTGTATTTTATGTTGCTTCTTCTTGTGTTTGTACTGTGAGGTGTTTGTTGTTCAAACAAAAATCTTTCATGAAAGTGTTTGTAGTTCGAACTGTTCGTTAACTGATCACCCACTGTATAACATTATAATCACATTTTGTACTGTTTAATGTAGCATAAGTTCTTATATTTTACATTTATATTATATTTCATTTGTAAGAATAGGAAGATGATATAATAAGCAACTCAACACCGTCTGTACTCTTTCCAGCAAAAAATATATTATATACTGTATATAATATATTAGTAGGTAGATAGGCCTAATCTAATCATGAAAGAAAACTAGATGAAGATTATGTTTTCTGCCTGTACAGTTTAGTTTTACTGGAGAGGTAAGGGTGAAACTGGAATTAATTGGGTGGATTGGTCTCTTTGATGTAGAAAGGGAAGCAACCAACATTGACAGCTAGGATTATCTCTTTTCATTCATCAGTGACCCCAATGATGGACAGTATGAATAAACCTTTAAGCATGCCAGAGAAATTTTTATGCAAGACGTATTTGCTTATGCTGTATTTGGTTTGTGAGATATCGATATTCCTATGGCATCAACAAGCACTAGTGCACTGTAGCTATCTCCTAATCTGTCCTGTGTTATTCCTGACCTCTTGGCGTTAATCGGTGACTTCATATGATTTCCCGCCAAACTTAGATGAAAATAAAGGAAACATGTCTGGTTTTGACGATTTGGGTGTTTTTTTCAGTGATAATTTCAGTTCTGACGATGTGGAAGGAAATAGAATTAATTTACAAGCTTTGAAGAATAGATATAAAGAATTTATAAGACAGTTTCATGAAGGAAATTTTGTGTATCGTTATAGGTAATTGTACGATTTGCTAATTCTAAATATGACATGTGCACGGTGTACATAAATGATTACCATAATTACAATTTGTTACGAACTTTTTATTAATATTGGGGCATAGGTTAAACTTTTACTAAGTTGTACGTTACTCCTTAGTAAACTTATCATTATTCTATACCCAATTCTATAACCAATAATTAATGGCATTGTCAGCCGACTGTTATTTTACAATTGGAGTATCAGTTTATTGGGCTCAAGTTTTTCAAGACACTTTGGGTGAGACATTTCCAGATCATTGGATAGGCAGTGATGGGTTGATTTTGTGGTTCCTACCGGTATGTTCTCTGGCCGTAACTTTGCTGAATTTCTTTGGGTTATGTTAGACTTGGATTTGACAAAATATACTACATATTTTACTTTCCTGGCTATTATGTATATATAACAGGGAAAGTATTGGAATAGTGTCAAATTTGACCCCTTGAGTGCTTTGCAAATTGCACGTTTTGAGACCCCTGAATCCAAAAAAGGGAAAAAATTTTGTGGATATGTATGTATGTGTGTGTGTGTTGGATTCTATTTCACTTAATATCTTAATACAGGGTAAAGAGTAAAAAAGAAAACAAAATTTTGCACAGTAGCTTCTGTGTAAGGGACATGATGCTATTAAATTTTGGTGGTTAAAGGTCAAGGGAATAGGGAGCTAGAGGGAGTTTTGTCATATCTCATGAAGGGTCAAACTTAATGAAGATCTTACTCATTATTGAAATTTACAATTTTTTTAACTCATCTGTACCTTCAAAATTAAGCTTTTGCCATTTTATAATAATATAAAAAGGTTTTTATAACAAAATCTCATAGCATATGGTGCCACACACAATTTATTTATTATGATTAATAAATAAATTTAACATGAATAATATAAAAGTTATTTAAAAAAAAAATCTCATAACAGCCAGGAAAATTACACAACTTGTTGCTGCCTGATTTTTAGTTTTCTATCATGTTAATGAGTCCAGAATTGTATTGGCCCTTTCTTGGCGCTGGTTTGTGCAATACTCTTTAAGTTAATGCACTAACAAGGGGAACCCGGGATGTTGTCATCACTGATTTTGACGAAATTTTGTGGACGTGTAGCATTTACTCGTACTTAAACTCTACCAAAGCTGCAGGACCTATTCAGGTATTCTTAAGAAAATCACGATTAAAGTTTTTCTAGAATTATAATATCCATGCATAGTTAAGGTGAATACGTGAAGCGTGTTAATATGTGGGTTTGAATCTTGTGTGAAATTAAATTATAAATGTAAAAAAAGATTATCTTATTGTTGTTAAACTTATATACAGTTGTTTAAGTCATTGAAGATTTATTTTTTTCATTTTGATCACTTCATATTTAGAAAATACATACAGTGGGTGATCAGCTAACGAACATAATTTGTTCCAAGACTTTGTTCATTAACCAATTATCAATTTACCATAGATTTCTATGGGAATTTGATTAATCCATTCTGGAGACCCCAAAAAATAAATAAAAAATTATATACATTCTTACTATATTTATTTATATATAATAATAAAAATAACATATATACAGTCTTGCAATTTTATTAGTCATGCTTTTTTTGGTTGNTTTCCCGCCAAAATAGAAACTTCCCGATAACATCGGAAATGACGTTCTAACATCATTTTAAAATATTCGATATCTAAAGCAGAAAGTGTTAGCTAAAAATAGACTTATTTATAGAACAATCCCCCATTTCTCACCTCAGGGAAAGTCATAAAACAGTTGGGTGCTAATGACTTTGTGAAAGGGAAAAAGTTCTACACTTAGAAACTTTGAAAGAAGGGATTTGGCCTGTACCGTCCGCGGGCCGCATAAACATTGATAGGGGGCCATATGTGGCCTGCAGGCCGCAGGTTGTGCACCCCTGGAAGTAGCAATGATTATTTTGTGCATGGTGCACCAAAACCGTTATGTTTTAACTGTTTTTATGATAAATACCATCCAAAATGTCGTCGTATTCTTGTGAAACAAGAATACGACAACATTTTGTAACTGTAAATATTTATTACATGTATATTTTTTCAGCCGAAAACTTTAAATTGTTGAAAAATAAATTTTTGAATTTCCTGATATTTTATAAAGAATAATAAATTTAAAATTCAATAATTAAAAATGGCATAAAAATTTGTACATAAATTTAATTTAATAACAATAAGTTTAAATTATAAACATAAAAAAATATTTATTTCATATGGGATTTGAACCCACATTTGTAGCATATTGCAATAAGGATAATCATTTATTGACACGTTGTATGCTTATACAGCATATCCTTAAAAATTATTTTAATTTTTATTATTCTGAATTGTTAATTTTGGATTTTATTTTTATGCCAAATTTTGATTTTTACTTAATCAAAGTTTATATTTGAAAATGAGATTTGGGCTTTTATATATACTTTTAATATGTCAAATGAATATCAATATGAATGTAACAAAATATATGATAATAGAAATAAATAATGTGATAATAACATTAATCAGCTTTAAAATGTTTTACAAATAGAAGAAATTTCAAACAGGATTTTTTTCCTCTTATTAAATTGAAATAAATTTGATTTCTGGCCAACTGGCAAAATAAACTTTTATTTCAAATCATAATCAATGAAATAGAATGAACAATTAAAAATTAAAAAATATCAATAATGTATAAAGATTTCTGCACAAAATTGCTCCATTTATCACAAAATACCTGCTTTTATGATACATATAAATGTAGTCACTATGTTAAATTGTTATAAAGCATTTAACAATATCTTCAAACCTGTTACCAGTGTGTTCTCCCATGATAACTCACAACGAAAAAAATATACAGTTTGTTACTAATGTTTTTGAACCAAACAGGTTCTTTTTCAGGTAACATTGAATTCCTGATGGAATGCAGATCGAAGAAAACAAATTTGAAACTCGAACATGCACTTCTGTCTTCTTGGGCATGTGTTCTCCAGTGCTTGATGGTAATCATAGATTTTGAAGATAATTCACTATTCATCACACTGGATATACTAAAAAATTACATACCAGAACCATTTATGGTGTGATCATGTAAAAAAATTGATAAACAAACATTTTCGAACCCCATCTGGGCTCTGCTTCAGGTTCCAAACAGTTTCTAGATAGATGTTCGATATCCGTTAAAAATCCATTCGATCAACATGTCATTTAAAGTTTGAGTTTGAATTGTAAGTTCGAATGGATTTATACAAATCAAGTCACGCATGCGCGACCAGTTTACCCGTTCATGTGTTGTGGGTGAATTAGAGTGTGTTGTTAATTAACTCTTGCCAGGCCAATGACAACAGCATCTCCTCTTTAAAATTTATGCGCGTGTTGGTGGTGGAGGATTTAAATATGTGCAGACTTCTAACCATTTGAGGTGTTCAACGGGGGGCGAATCGTGGAGGAGATTGGCCTGCGAGAAGTTCTCTACTATATCAGGATCTGTTGCATATGTAGCGAGGGCCTTGGAAGTTCTTTCGTGTCGAATATCAGATAGATGTTCTTGTATTCTGATGCCCAACGATCGTTTAGTGGAGCCTGTATATATCAGGTTCCTATTGCTCCTGTTGTCCTTCAAAGGGATACTATAGATTCCAGGGTGTCTGGTGGGGTTAGGAGGGTCCTTTCCATTATGTAAGATGTTGAAAATAGTAGGATACCTCCTAAAAGCGAGAGGTAGCTGCTGTTTGCTGGCAACCTTAGTGTATAGAGATTTTAAGTATGGATTGTATGTGATGGCAATTCGTTCTATGTCCTCCAGATGGTTGTCCTCGAATTGTTCTGGTTCCCATGCGTTTTCTGAATATATACGTTGCTGATGCTGTATTAGCTTATGTATATGTTTGTGATACCTGTGTTGAGCGGCTACGCTAAGTATGTATGCTAGTTCAGTATCCTGAGCCTGTTAGATGAATGCGTAAAGGCTTTTCTGATTAATGCTCTAAAGGTTGCAGTCTTATATGTGCTCGGATCACAGGACCCAGCAGGAATGTAGGATGATGTAGATCCGGGTTTATGATATACCAAGGTGTTGATGCCCAAGCTTTTGACCTTAATACTTATATCTGGAAAGTGCACTTCTGATGGGTTCGATTGCTCTACTGTGAGGAAAGACTCCCCGGTGTATATAGCATCCCAATTAAGGATCACAGATGCGATAGAAACCTAGTCTACGTAGGCTCTACAAAGTGCTCTTTACAAGTTAGATTGAAAGAACACTCAGCTGATATACAGAATGAAAGGACCACCACTGCTCTGGCCATTTACGCCTTGGATTCGGACATTTGAATCAGAGCCAGATTTGAATCAAACAAGAATTATCCGCACTACACAACATGCACACCACCTCAGGTGGCTAGAGGCTGCATGCATATACATAACTAGCCTTAGCAGTAATAACTGCATCAATCACAAGGAAGAGATAAATCTATCAGTAGCGTGGCAGGTGCTTATAGACAAAAATCTATGATTATTATGAGCATATGCCCAAGAAGACTTAATCGAGAAGTGCAAGCTCAAGTTTCAAATTTGTTTTCTTCAATCTGCATTCCATCGGGAATTCAACATTACCTGAAGAAGAACCTGTTTGGTTTGAAAACATTAGTAATGAACTGCATATTTTTTCGTTGTGAGTTGTCATGGGAGAATACACCGGTAACAGGTTTGAAGATATTGTTAATTCACTACATTCTGGTGTTGAGTGATTTTGTATAAAGCATTTAATTATTTTAATTTTTATTATTCTGAATTGTTTTTATTTTATATTTTATTACAATAGAGATCAATTAAAAAGTCATTACAATGTTGGTCAGTATTGGCTAGAAGTATGCTTGGAAGATATTGCTTGTTTTGATGAAACATTAGCGGATAAATTATGGAAACAGCCTACAGAAATTTTACCTTTGGTATGTATTTTAGACAGTTGTAAATTTGTAATTAATCAGTATAAACTCATATTCTTTAAAAGAAATTAGTATAATTTTATATTGAAAAATGTTTTCAAACTTTATTTTACTTTTTAATTTTAGTTACAAAAGCTTTAAATTAGTATATAATACAACATGTAGTATGTGAATGCATTCTTAATTATAATTTATGTTTTGCTCAATATCAGATATTAAATTTTGCTAAATGTTATTTTAGTATCTGACTTATTTAACATCTGAATAAATTTGTGCTTTTTGTATTTTACACTTACTATGTAATAACAAAAACAAATACACTGAGTTCAGCGTTACATTGTAACGCTGAACTCAGTGTCTTTGTTTTTGTTATTATATATTAATTTGGCGTGTTAGTCATCTTATTGATTACACTTACTATGTTTTTTTCATTTCTTCTTTGTCAATTCCTTTTGACATTATATTGAAACCATCTTTTTTGTAATATTGAAAATTATTTTTTTTTTTAAATTAGAAAATTTTAAATCAATTTAATTTTTCTTATTAAATAAACCTTCTTAAATTAAACTGTCTATAAAATAATTCTTAAATGTTATAATAACTAAGATGTTTGCAAATGTTACAGATGTCCAAAAAGTTGCTGTGCAGTGATAAATTTGTAGTGTTGCATGAGAAACCTGTAAGTTGTATATGATACTCTATGTGTAACTGGTCAACTGGTACTAAATGGACAAGTTATACAGTACCATACATATAACTTTAATGTCATTCCTACTTTCTCACTGCATTGTAACTTTTTGGACACTCCGTATTATTTTTTAATTAAGTTTTAAGAATTTGTTGATTAAAAATATAAACTATGGTGTTATTTTTTTTTATTATATTTTTGATTCAACAGTAGAATGGGTAATCTGTACTTTTTTGGAAATGTTAGACCAAAGTAAAATGTGAATTTAATACTGCATTTTAACTGCTAGATATTTTTTTTTTTTTTTTGATTTTACAAAACAGTCAAAATAAATATTCAATTTCTTGCTCAACAGTTTCAGTCAGAACAGCAGGGAGGAGTGAACTGTTTATCATGAAGCAGATTAAGGTAGCATTTGGGATGTCATGCAGAAATAGCTTTAATAAATTTACAATATAGAAAATTTTTTTATTAATTATTTTTATATATATATAT